GTGTCAAGATAGGGTAAAAGATGGGGTTCTAGAACTTCGTGGATATAACGCTGCGCGTTCATGTTACCTCTGATGAAGATTAAAGGTGACCTGGAACCATAAGCTATAGCACCCCAAACCATAACTCCAACAGTGTGATGAGCATGTCTTTCAACAAAAAACTGTGGATTCCTCCTTTCACCACGTCGCCTTCTAACCCTGGCACGACCATCGTGCATGCCTAAACAAAATCGAGACTCGTCACTAAAGACAATACTGTTCCATTCCTGATCCCAGAGTGACCGTTGTCTGCACCACTCAAGGCGATTACGTCGGTGTTCTCGAGTTAAAGGGAGGACCCAGTGTGGCCGGTATGAAAACAAGCCAAAACTTCTCATTCGTCGGTAAACACTTCGCATGCCAATAGGTCTTCCGTGTTCTGCAAACCATTCATTTGCAATGCACCTGGTAGTGGAGAAACGGTCCCTTAAGGCCAATAATCTTAGGCGGCGATCTTCACGGTCTGTTGTTCTACGGCGGCGTCCAGTGCCCCTTGCTCTTTGCGTACGGCCACGCCTGGCAACACCTAACCACAGTGTCTACACTTCTTTGCACTCTAACTGCAATTGCCCGAAAAGAAAGTCCAGCTTCCCGAAGTCCCACTATATCGTGCCCCTATCAAACTCACTAAGTTGATGAAATCGTACAGGTATCCGTACTCTAGGCATCGTAATCGATCGTAAAGGATGTCAAGAACCAAAATCCGCCAATGTTGATTCTTTACTGCGGCTGAAATATTCATTTTTAGAGCGTTAGTGAACTAAAAAAAAGCAGTATAAAAACCGGAATGTCCAACTGATAAGGCTGAAAATTTTTTCACTTGTTATTGACAGTAAGATAAATACATTCACCAACTTTTATTAAAATAAAACCATTTAAACTGGGTGTTCGGATTTATATGTCACTTAGTATATTTTACCAATAAACACACTGTTTAGCAAAGATTATCTTTACGACTATTTTTTCATCAATTTTACTTTCCCAAAAGTAAGTAAACCGTAATTACGGATTTTCTCAAAATCACCCCGGATGGACTATTGTCGTTATTCCCCGGTACCCTTCAAATATTTACTGGATTCTGTTGAAATTTGGTAATATTATTTGTTGTATTAAGAGGCTAATTTAACCCTAAGTAGATGAAAATTATTAGGTCCAGTGGCGTCCCCGTTCACGTAATTTTCTTTGCGAAATTTCTCTAAAATGTTTTTGTCTCGGTTTTTGTGGCGAAAAATTAAGCTTTTCAGGAAACGGTAGAGATGAATCTAATGTATGCATGTGCTTATAGTAACTGTTATGCAGCGAGGCGCTTGTATGCAGAAGCGATTCCTCATCGGCAAGTTCCAGATAGTAGAACCTTTGAAAGCATTGACCGTAGATTACGGGAAACAGGTAAATTTATTTCTTTTTCGTGATGTGTTTGACAATAATCTTATTTAGGAACTTTTGCCATTCCCACCGATGATTAAGAAAGAAAATCGTAAGTGATTGTGAAGAAATAAGTTATAGACCTCGAATTCTAGCTCTGTTACAGTCTGGCCTTGCTCGTTTTCGAGGAAATAGGGTCCGATGATTCCTTCAGCCGACATGACCGCCCAAACTGTAACATAAGGGAATGCAAAGGTCGTTGGTGTTTTAATTTGGGATTTTTTGCGGCCCAATACCGGTAGCTTTGCTGGTTGACAAATCCACTCAAATGAAAAAGAGAATTTTGTTCAAACTTGGAAAGGGCTCTAACATTATTTCGCGTAGATGGTGGTCCTGCGGTTTCAGTTCCTGCAATAGTTGAAATTTATATGGGTGCAATTTAAGGTCTTTTACCAAAATACGTATAAGAACAACACTGAAACCAAAATAGATCCCTGAGGAACGCCTATGGTGATGTCAATGATTTGAGATTTTATGGGCGTGTCAAGATTACTGTTGGATATACAGGGTGTTCCTTAATGATATGCGAATATTTAAGGATGTGAATCTACGTGAAAAGTTAATGTTAGTTTGCTTCATAAACTATGGTCCAAAAATGTTGCCTTACAAAAACTCGGGCTGTTGAAGTTTTAGGAAAATAATGGAATTTAATTAATATTTTCAGAACCGCTTCAGATATGTCATACTGATATTCAGTACATAGTGAAAGTTAATGAAGTTGCATATTTTTCAATGCAAAAATAATGAATTCGATATTTTTTAAGAAAAAAATGGTACGCCAATAATTTTTTCCCAAAAAAAAAATTAGTTTTGGATTACCCGTTCAATTTAAAACAAATGATCTCTCTTGAATTATTTTCCTTCGAAGCGCCATTTTTGAGTAAAAAAATAAAAATCGTTCAATTGTCCGAGAAAATCAATGTAATAATTTATTGACTAATTGCAATTTAGCAATAAATATCTAGTTGCTCTGGAATATGTCACTGGATTTTGACATATGACAAGTCTCTGTGATTCAAATCTGTTCGCTGCGACATCTTTTTCATTATTTAGTTTTTACAATCTTGCTAATAATGGTGAATTATTCAAATGCAGAAATGGCGGAAATGCATTACGTATATAATATAAAAGGTTTTGAAAAAATCTTTTTTGTATACTAAGTGACATACAGAATGCAACACCAAGAATCATTTATTGAATTTTGATAAAAACTGTTAAACGTATTTGCTATATACACATTTTAAAACAAACCGTATGTGTCTATCCTCTTTTGTTGCGAATTACTCACAAATACGAAATGTTTGAATTTGTTTATAAGAAAAAACGTAATCTATCCTTTTTGCTTAAGAATAACATTTATCTTCCGGAATGGGTTGCGATTCATATTGGTAAGGTAAATCATTGTATTTTGCTATAAAATGCCCTTTGACTAACCCTGTATATTGCTCAATACACTAGTAGTGATGGCCGGAAAACAGGTGTTTTGGGATAAGCAATTAGAAATTAGAAAACTACTTGACCAATCTACTCCAATTTTGTTGTCGTTATTTAGAAGTACAAGTCCTACAAATTTGAAGAATTTCAAATATCTTCAAGGAACCATTGGTATACCACCATTTGTTTGCCAAAAGTCATCACCGAGCTTCGAAAAATCAAAACCGAAAGAAGAATCATCCTCCACCAAGACAGTGCAAGCTCGCACGCAGTCCAAAAAACAAGGCAGTATTTAACGGAAGAAAACGTGGAATTATTGGACCATCCTCCATATAGTTCCGTTCTTTACATTCCCGAAAATTAAACACAGACTGCGTGGTCAAAGGTTCCAGTCACCAGAAGAAGCAGTAGACGCATTCAAAAATGCCGGTTTGGGATCTGCCAGCTAACGAGTGGAATAAGTGCTTCGAAAATTGGTTCGAGCGCATGCAGATGTGTATTAATCTTCGTGGAGAATACTTCTAAAAACAATAAAGTACATTTAAAACTACCTACGGTGTTGTTTTATTTCCATATGCAAAACTTACATAGACATCCGTCGTATAAGGTAGAATATCTCAGCTACTTTGCCAAATTTCGAGTTAAAATTTCAATCACTTTCTATTTATCAATAGACCTGGAACTTGTAAAAGAATGCTCAAACCTACAGCACTCCCAGCCGGAGTTGCATTTAGTCATTTAGTATATTATTATCATTCAATTATGCTGTTTAAAATGTTTTGGAATCAAGTACAGTTACCTCTTGCCGACGATCGCCCCGAGATAAACTTTTGCGGGCACCCGTGTTTACGAATATGCCGTTGAATAAACATCGCCAATCATGGAGAATGCATCGTTGCATATGTGGCTGAACAATTTCTGCGCATATCATACATTTCCGGATTCAACACTCAGCAGCGAACTGGTGATGGGCGGTGATTCTAAAATACCTGTTATTTAAATTTAACCGGTTATACGACCAAGCTCACACCCCGGCTAGTCCAGCGCCTATTAATAGATGGCGCGTAGCTCACGATGTAAACGTGCACAGTGCGACATTTGACTTACATAAATTAGGGGAATTTGATTTTTAAAAAAACACAATTTCTTTTCGAATTATGCGAGTATTTATATTCCAACATGAAGATGAATGGTTGCGATTAAACATCCGGTAAATGGCCACCGCGAAACTTCTGTCACAGGGTCAGTCTTTTCTTAAGATTCTGGATAACGTTTTCGCACAACTGTGGCTCTATTTCATCGATAACGCACCGTATCTCTTCTTTAAGGCGTTCAACTGTTTGCGGCTTGTTCGCATACACCTTTTCCTTCACATAGCCCCAGAGGAAGAAGTCCATTGGCGTTAGATCGCACGATCTTGGTGGCTAATTTTGATCGCCAAACCGAGAGACGACACGGTCTGGAAACTTGGTCCGCAATAACACCATTGTTTTGCGTGCTATGTGGCAGATCGCACCGTCTTGTTGGAAGAACATATCAAGTCGACTCGGTTACCGTGATACCATTAACAATTACCGCAGTTCCAGCTGCATTTTCGAAGAAATACGGTGCAATCACTCCGCCACTCCACAATGCGCACCAAACGGTAACACGCGGCGGATGCATTTACACGAGGGTTGCTTATTGACGTACCCGTTCAATTGAAAATGTGCCTCATCAGGGAGAATGATTTTCTTCGATAATTTGGTGGTTCTCCAGCGCCCAATCAACGAGTTCACGGCGCTGCGCTTGGCCCGTTGGCTTGAGTTCTTGCGTCAGTTGAAGCTTGTTCGCGTGCAAGCACAGATATTTTGTCAAAATTCGTTGCAGGGTGGGTCTGGTAAGGTTCAATTCTTGGCCACGATGCCTGGACTCGGAGACGAACAGTGGTCTTTACATTCAGCAACGTGAATTTTGTCTCAAATTTTGTAATTAAACGGCGAACTGTCGACTCATTTGGCGCATTATTGCGACCGAAAATTGTATGTAATTTGCGAACTGTTTCACAATAATTAAACGGGTTATTCAATTAACATGTTATTATTGCCCATCCCTAAAGCGCAGCCAGAACAAGCTGGAACTAACCTTATCTTTTCCGCGCCTTGCCGATAACGCGGATATTACACCTATATTAGATCCCATGCACTTTAAAATAGATATCTTACTGAAACAAATCTACAATTCGATCAAATTAGTGCAGCGGGAACCTGCGTCTTATGGGTTTGTCTATCCATCTCGTTCCTGTAAAAATCAACCCACCTTGGGTAAGTTCGATTTTTATATCGATATTCAGATAGAAGAATCAGTTAAAAACTTAGGTTCATTAATTCATATCAATTGAAATTGTTCATATTTTATTATTAACTTACATATATACCCAATAATATTTACAAATCAACCTTCTATTCACAATGCAGAGCAGATTTTTTTGAGCAAATAGAAACTACAGACGTAGTAGTAGTAGTACAAAGGTTTATTACAGACTCCATAAAGTTTGTTAGTTTGATTGCTATTAAAATTTACATGAGAAATAGGAAGAATGTCAAAATGCACTATTATGCTAAATTAACCCAAATTTTGTGTAATTATAAATTTGGAATTTCCACATTAATAACTAGAAACTTACACTTTGATTGCAGTCTATAATGAACTTACCTGTCTTGCCAAAAAGCCCGTTAAACTGCCAGTCTTAATGGTATCAATCGATTTATATGCTGTATTCCGAGGAGCTTGAATCATCAGAATTGTTGATGTCAATTATAAGGGGTTCAACTTGGGTGTCCATATCCCACATTTTGGTTTCAACCTTCTCTTGGACATGGTCAATACATGTTCTCCATTTTGCTGGCGTAATTCTATCGACAGCAACATCAAACAGTTTTTTAAGGTCAGAAAACTTAAAAGTGCTGTTATTTGACCCCACGTATTGCTTGATGTCGGCCCAAATCAACTCGATAGGATTCAGTTCGCAGTGATAGGGAGGCAGCCTGAGAATCGTTTTATTTTGGTTTTTGGCCATTTCGTCAACAATTTTTAAATCATATTTATACTTATGTCGCTTGACTATATTTATCAGCTCAGCTTTGACCATTGTTTGGTCGAAGTCGATCTTCTTTGAGACAAGCCACTGTTGAATGTCTGCCTTTTGGTGGCCATTGTTGGAATTTTTTCCAATTTTCTGGAGTGGTACGGGGCATTATCCATCACAATAATTGCGTTATCATCAAGTGTCGGCAAAATTTTTTTGAACCAATTTTCAAATGAGTTACCATCCATTTCTTCGTGATAGTCTCCAGTTTTTTTGGATTCAAATGCCCACAATGCTTCAGGAACAAATCCATCTACGCTACCTATGTGGCAAATGATCAGGCGTTTTCCCTTGCCTGAAAGTAATTAGTTATTTTACTTCTCAGCGAGCGCACTAAATGATGAAATTAAGCAACTTACTCTTTTTAGGTTAGTGTAGGCTAGGGTCTTAGATTAGTTTTTGGGTGAAGGAAATACTCAGAAACTTGGATGAGATAGCAAAACTGAGTTCGGAGCTTCCAAATCATTGATTCGATCAGAAAATGAATTATCTGCATCCAAAAAAGTTCATATACTTCGAAACTTACCTGCAGGATTTTTCAATCCCGTCGAAAGGCCATCTAAAAAAGCCTGTCTTGAGGACCTCACAGATCTGTCTACCCAAACCTTTCCCTGCGTATGCCCCCGCGTTCACCATGTTTCGTCTAAATAATAAATTTTTCTTCCTTCAGCGCGGAATTGCCTAATTTTTCTAAGGTATTCTCTCCTCCAGATAACAATTTCCTGCTTTTCTATCAATAAACTATTCCTTCCTCTTTCAAAAATCGAAAGTCTAGTCTAGTTCTTTCAACAGCTTATGGAACGTAGATCTTTTAAAATTTGGCAGGTCCTCATCATCATTCACTTGCTTCAATATTTTATCTATTGTAGGTATTTCATTCCTGAAGAAAAAGTGATGTACTTTTCTTCTAATGGCACTTTTGTCAAAGTCATCTATTTTTCGATGATTTTTATCTCGCTGGATATGTTTTTGGCTCAGATAGTGAGTTATTTTGTCGATATTCCTTCAAGATTTTGTAAACACTTGATCGACCTACTCCAGAAATTTCAGCAACCTTACATACGATATTTTCTATAGCCAATCCACTATTCTCTTGCATCTGGTTCTTGTAGATATTTAGAATAATTTGTTTTTCACCTGCGCTAAGATGAAGCTTTTTAGCCCTTTTTCTGGGTGGCGTTAAGCTGATTTCAACCACTTCATTAGCTGTATCTGTGTCAGACATTTTAGACTAATATTAAATTTCCGCAAGAAAAATCAAGTCAAGACGTGCATAAAACGTTCGCGCTCATAAACGGGTATCCGTAACTGATTACAATCCTGTGCGTGGTGACGAACCATCAACGTGACGCTGAGAGTTCCCTCTACTATGCAGCGTTGCCAGGCTTAATGTCACAATGATCATGTTTTATTGGGAAAATTGTCAGAAATCGCCGAATGTTGAACAGAAACATTACAAGAAGTCTAACCTTGAAATGTGAGGCTACAAATCGATATTCTTATAGGGGGGGAAGGGTAGGGAGCTGTTATGGTTCCTATTAACCTTGGTGAAAGTTGGAAACGGTAATATCATATATGGCATACATTCGGTTGAAGGTGTGTGCACGGAAAATAGATTGCGGATAGGATTTTAATAGATAAATCTGCACAAAAAAACACAAAAGGAGATTTTTGTATTTCCCTGAAGAATATCTCAAGGTTATTTCAGATGTACTCATCGAAACTTTATGGAAGGATTATCGAAACCTTATTTTCAATTGCGATAGGGCCACCTACCTCGACATCGCATTAATGTGAAAAATAAGACAATAGAAAAAAATTCCCTCACTGATGCTATCTCTTAGGAAAAATTTAACTATAAAGATTGCACAAAAATTGTCTTCACCTTTTGAGCTTGTTTTCGCATCTCCGTATATGCCGTTCATAATTTGCTGCAGATCAAATTGGAATATACCTTTGTGATGCCATTTATTGTTATATAATGTCCTTTACAACAGTTATTGCACGTATTGCACCACGATTGATTTGTGACCATGCGAATGTTATAACCATCTGGCGAAACTCGCCTGGCACGTGCGACTTTGTTCGGAACTCTCGCTACAAGCCATCAGAGAGCCGAAGACCATGGCTACCACACGCGTTGATCACGAATCAACCACTGTTTACGATACTTTGTAGCTCGTTAGATACACTTTAAACCAAAGAGGCAACTGCATCGTACTCTGATAGATTTGGAGAGGTATCGTTACGTTGCATTGGCGCAAAAGAATAGCGTCGCGAGCCCTTACACAAAACCAATGACAAACCATAGGGTGGAGTGGGAGTCGATACGACCGCGCATGCCGGCTGTTCCGGCAGCTGGCCGTACAATACAGAGTTGGAATCAGATTTATGCTGCTATTACTGTGTGCCTATTAGATTTGTCAGTGTAATTTCGTAGAACTCAAAATGTCTGATACGGATACAGCTGATGAAATTGTTGATATCAGTCGCACACCGCCTAAAAAATAGCTAAAAGGCTTCATTTTAGTGTTAGCGAAAAACAGTAATTATCAACATTTTTTATAAATACGAAATGCAAGGAAGGACTGACTCAAGTGTTCAGGACATTGTTTGCAATACTTGTAAGACGAGGAATTTCAACTAAAATTATATTTTCTTTTTGTTTTGTACATGCTTAAACTATATCTAGATAAGAAACCAAGCAATCATTTTGTTGGGTTTTTAATGATTTCAATAGGAGCGGTTTTAAAGTGTCCGAAATGAATTGTTTTTAGGAAAATGTAAGCGATGGATAATTTGCCACATCGGTAATGAAGACGGATTTGTGTCCGATGCTTTATGGGCATTTGAATCTAAATAAACGAGAGACTTCCATAAAGAAATGGATGGAGCCTCGTTCGACAATTGTTTCTCAAATACTCCACCGAAGCTTGAAGGTAATTCGGTTACAGTATTAGATAATGCTTCATTCCACACGAGAAAATTCCAACAACGTCAACAAAGAAATCAGAAATTCAAGGATGGCTTAAAAATAAAAAGATTGATTTTGATGATTCAACGGTTAAGGCAGAATTGTTACAAATTGTCAAGACGCATAAAAATAAATACAATCTGAACATAATTGATGAAATGGCCAAAAAACAAAATAAAACTGTTTTACGACTGCCTCCTTACCATTGTGAGCTCAATCGGATTGATTTGGGCAGACATAAAAAAATGTTGCAGCAGAAAATAAATGTTTTAAATTTTCTGACCTTAAAAATATTTTTCTTGATGCTATACAAAGAATAACACCGAATAAGCGGGAAAATGTATCAGCATGTAAAAGAAAAGGCCGAACCTTAAATGTGGGAATTAGACGGAATCATTGATACCCACGTTGCCCCTTCAATCATAAATCTTTATTACAGTAGGAGTTCCACGGCCTCAGATCTAGAATGATTTTCATTTTCAAATATATGTATTTCCGGTTTTAGAGGTAAAATGTCTGTGGAATAATTTCTTGTATAATATTTAGTATATATTATTAGGTATTCAAATCCTCTTTCTTTCAACTTCACCTAACTATTCATTTTTTAGTCTAATATTGAAATTAACTGTTCAAGCGGTGGTTGGGTATACTTGTATGCATATGCAATTATCGTGTTATCGTCAAGACATTTTTTAAAAGCCTGCTTTATAAATGCGCCTTACGACACATTTCGATTATAATTTCTTGGTAAAACACTTCTACTAAAAACAACAATAGACAGCTGTTTTCTTTTTGGTCATGACAGTTAAATTAAAAAAATGAATTAATTCCAAGCTTTAAGTTTGGACCCTTTCATGCCTGCAATAATTTTGCATACTTTTTGATCGTGTCGCAGAACCATCATTTATTCTTAGTACGGCCCTGTGACGTGCTCGGCGTTCTGGAGCGCGATCACGTGGAGTATACGTGAATATGTTTAGGTATGGCCTCTTTCTTCGATGGATACATAATAGGTACTTCGATTCCTTCATTTTTGAAAAATAAATTGATATCTCGTGAATATATCCATTCAATAAACCCCCAGTATATATTATTTGGTTGGTTTTTGAGTCGTAAAACATTTTTACTTGACGTTTCACCAGCACGAGTGTTCGGCGTCTTCAGAAGATGTTCACAGTTTGGAATCCTGTGAACTATTGACATCTCCGCGGTCTTAGCTCATATTTATATGTGGCTCGGGTGGTGGGGAGAGCTCTTCGGGAATCCTCGGCTGGCCTCGCGCTCGGGATGACTCGGCTGTTGTTTTGGCATTACTTGATGTCATCGATTTTCTAATTTCCAGCTGTGCGTATCCATCGACCATTAAGTTGTTCTTTAGATGTTCAAGTTATAAATCCAGTTCTTCGGGGTCACACATTCTGTTAGTGTTTTAACGATGTCATATTTCTCACACGGGTAATGATTGAAGTTCCTATGCAGATACCGATCTGTGTGCGTTGATTTTCTGTATACCGTATGTCCCAGTCGTAGTAATACGTCCAAGAAACCCAGCTTGTCGTTGTCGTCTAGCTTCATGGTGAATTTGATGTTGCTATGCATGTTATTGATGTGAGTAAGGAAATCATTGAGTTTATCAGGTCCGTGGCTCCATATTACAAAAGTATCATCGACATATCAAAACCATATTTTGGATTTGTATAGTGCTCTGCTGAGAGTACGCTGTTCAGGATCCTCCATGAAGAAATTCGCATATTGTGTTATCCCACGTGAAGTATTCAGTCGTCAAGCACAGTCTGTAGAAATTTCTCAGTGTCCTCTGGAAAAATGCGGCTGATCTGTTCCATTGCATCATCAACTTGTAACATACTTTCGTAAAGAGCGATACTACATCAAAGCTAACTAGTACATCGTTTTCTTCGAGATGAATATCCTTTATTTTTGATATGAAATGGGCAGAGTCCTTGATGTACATGTTGGATTGTCCAATGTGTGGTGGAGCTGGGTTGTGGGTTGCTTGGCTAGGAAGCCTATAGCACTAACAATGGGACGCAACGGAATGTTGTACTGAACACAAAGTTTGTAATTACACTTTGGAGTCAATCTACTTGACGTCGTTTTCTTAAATTGTATGTTATGGTCACACACACTTCGTCGGCCGACCTTAGAAACCACTTTATATTTAGAATGAGTCAGTGCAGCACATTACATATAAACAGCGATATCGTTATTACTTCCAGGAACGTTGATATACATATTTAGTCGAATAATCTCTTCGAGTTTATTTCGCACCTTAATCATTGCAGATAGCTGTTGTTTTCTTTGCAGATACCAGATTTTCAAGTTGGAATCTCTTTGATACCCTTAAAAAATCGATCAAATTCTACTGTGTGAACCGGCGTCTTATGGTTCGCCACCCCTTATCCATCCCAAAAATTCAACTCACCTTGGGTAAGTTCGACCTTTATATCTATACAGTGTGTCCCAGATTCGTAGGTATAACAGGAGTCGAAATCCCTGCATAGAGAAGCGAATCTGGGATACACTGTTTCCAATTGATTACAAGAGGAGGTTCTAGTCGAATCCCATCCGCTTGGAGAATATTACGTTTTTCTTTTTTTTTTGTAAGAAGCATTGTCAAATTGAAAGAAACAATGGCATCAAGTAGGTTGACTATGCACTGCCTTCAGTTCAGCACAAGTTGAATCCTGATAAAGAAATTAGTTACGAACATTAGGTTTGTCTCAGCCTCTGGGGGCAAACAAATTTTTGTTCGAATCGAGATACGCATATCCGCTAATTTTTTTTACATTTGACTTAACAACTAAAAAAAGTATTATTGCGATCAGGGAACGATAACCCGTGGTGACTTCCAGTCAGACTTTGAATTTGAAAGTTAATAACCATGTATCGATTTCGAAACCTAATTCTTATTCGGCAAATAAAACACTGCTTCATTTGTATCTCATACTCCTTAGATATTTCTCATTAAAAGAACATTATTTACTGAGTTTTCTTTTCGCAGTCAGGATATATACAGGGTGGCCCCTCCATGCGTGGACGGAATATTACTCATAAACAAATACATTTTAGGAAAATCTATTTATGGCGTGTTATACAGGGTGTTTCAGTTTATTGTTGCATAACTTTAAGATTCGATAGAACTTTTAAAATTAATGCATAAATTCTATATAAACATGGGTCAAAAAATGCGTGGCTTCCGAAATACAGGGTTTTTAAATTTACTTTCTAACATAGTTTTTTTTAATATTTCGAACAATATTTAATGTATAACAGTGAAAATTGGTATACAAGGGTTTTTCGGTACGACAAAACGAACCATTGGCATAGTTTTACTGTAGCCGCTACAAGCAAAAAATTGTACTAAGAAAAATTTTTCGGTCATTTTAATACACTACAGGTACAGTAGAGAGCGCCCTCTAGCGGCTACAGTAAAACTATGCCTTTTTTTGTTTTGTCGTATCAAAAAACCTTTGTATACCAATTTTCACTGTTATACATCAAATATTGTTCGAAATATTTAAAAAAAAAACTATTTTAGAAAGTAAATTTAAAAACCGTATTTCGGAAGCCACGCATTTTTCGACGCATGTTTATATAGACTTTATGCATTAATTTTAAAAGTTCTATCGAATCTTAAAGTTATGCAACAATAAACTGAAACACCCTGTATATGACATTTGAGGGCACATTTCTGAAATATTGGCAAGTATACAGGGTGTCCCAGTTTTGACCTACATATCAAAGTTGTGATTTTTGAGATTGATTGATTGAGATTGATATGACATACGATGGGAACCTCCAACTGATTCGCCTCATTTTTGTCACTTGGATTATTTATACATTTTATACTATATTCAACTGCTCCACTTGATTCAAAACATTCTCGTAGTGTGGAAAATGTTTCCGGCCTTGGATGTCGCATATTAGAGTACCGTTTCTGTTTCTTTGGGCTTTGCTAAAACGAACACCATATTCACCATTTTTTGTTTAGAAAAATTCATTTTCAGACACGTTTTTATTATAATGCTCAGAACGCTAATTTTGGCAGTTTGTAACTGATCAACAATTTATTTGTTTCCATGGATTATGCGATATTTTAGGGAATTAAGCCGTTCCACAAAAGACGCGCTAATAACCGAAAAAATGGCCGTAAAAATCCTTATGTGTCTAGTAGCAAACAAAGCTTATAATAACTTAAATCCAAACTTGCACAAATATAGAGGGTGATGGATTTGAAATTTTTGAGAAAAACTACAGTTTTCGTTTTGAATGAGCAAAGATTAAAATTCGAAATAACCTAAAAGCTGAGGTGTGTAAGTTTTTTTTGATACAAAATTGAGCACTTCAGATTTCAAAATAGCGGACTGAGGGGTTGCCGAAGTGGGGGGTTTTTCTAGACAAAACACCTTATATCTCAGTAGCTAATTACAAAAACCCCATAGTATGTTATATCAATCTCCTTCTTTGGAATTGATTTATCCGAATATGCAATAAAATTTGAGGTATTCCATTTGAAAAATCACAACTTTGATATTCGAAATCGGGACACCCTGTATAATGGCCAATATTTTAGAAGGAGGAGATACTTGTGTACTATACAGGGTGTCCGCAAAGTTGGGGTTTTCCTTTTCAGAAACAACTACCCTTGAAATAACAAAGGTAATGTGTAGTGAAACGAGGGCGACCAAGTAAAAAAAAATAAAGGAAAAAGTACTCACTCTCCAGTTGACGAGAAGGGCTAAGTACGTCTCTGCCCGAAATCATACCGCTCCAACAGAAAATGAAATCAGCTGATGCGCTACCGAGCAGACGCAGGCAAACAAGGAAGGCAAAATGTTTCATAAAAAGTCTAGGTATTGCATACCGTTCACCATGCCAGCCCAAACATTCACCGAAAATATTTGTTGAAAATGTGCCCGACGGACAGCGTGCGGATTTTCTACTGACCAAACATGAGTGTTGCGAAAGTTATTCACCCCATTACGCGTGAACGTAGATTCGTCTGTCACCAATATGCACTTGAAAAAGTCCGGAGTATTGTCATGTTGATGCAACAACCACTCACAAAACCGCACTCTTGCTGGAAAATCGTCAGGTTGAAGGGCTTGTACACGTTGGACGTGAAACGGATACAGCCCCTCTTCAGCGTTTGCCACACGATACTTTCACTTCTCTAGCCACGTCTCTAGTGCTTGTTGAGGGATTCTCGTCTACGCGATTACCTCTACACGCGTGACCGTAACCGTCGGTTGAAGGTTGCATACTGACCTGACACACTGACCCCTACCCAGTTCTGTCGTCGGGTTGAGCTAGTGTCCTAGTACCACTCGGGATGTCGCGGCTACAGGACGGTATTCAGATATTTTTGATGTTGCAGAGCCCTTTATCTCGGTTCCCTTAAGACATTGGTGTATATGGTACTAAGAAAAATTGCTTATGTTTTCAAGATCTACACGTCGTGAAAAGGAAACCCCCAACTTTGCGGACACCCTGTATATTGTTATTTATATTTTACACTATATCCATCATGTGTCCCTATTTATTTTACTTTTAACGTGGCAATGTATACATTTGCATCTAACAAACAAACAAATGTAACGTACACTACTTCACGTCATCTATTGCAGAAACAGCGAAGCTGCGAGGTTAGTCCGTACCTGCCTCTGCTAACGTGACACTGTGGTCTTGAAGAAAATCGGTAAGACGGTTCAGAGTTCAGAGTGAGATGCCAGACATAGACGATTATAGCGAGGCAGCCCTCGAGCGCACTGTTGGAAATATAAAGAATTACAGAAGGACACAAGATAATGGAGTGATTGAAATCACATACGACTTTGTTGAAAGACTACCAGCTGCAGGTCTTGGTGTTGGAGTGGGTGGTTTGACGGGTTTGACTGCGTGTGCTGTCATAGCAGCTGCACCTGTTGCTGGCCCTGCCCTCCTTATATTGGGTACATTTTATGGTGCCATGGCTGCCGGGGGTGCAGTGGGTGCCGTCGTCGGAATCACACAATCCCGTCGTCGTATATTCGATATTAAGACTGGGGAATTACTAGGTACATGTCGAAATGATGCATCAGACAAGCTGAATGATATAGGTCATAAAGCGTTCCAAGAAGGACGTTATGCTCAAGCTTTCGAGTACTTTCGTAATGCCTACTATAACTGTTCTTCTGGTTATCGCCTTGAACAAACCTTCAAAAAGAATACAGATTTAGCTGAGACCAAGGTGGCTATCGAAAATTTGAAATTGCAAGCTGATTCTTTGTTGAGTCAGAGTAAGTATAGTGAAGCTCACAGTAAGTATCAAGAGGCTTATGATAAATCACAGGTTGAGTCAGAGAAGCACAAGTATAGGGATCACATAATATCAGTCCTTGATGCGCTATGGGATAGTGCCTGGATGGCTGAAAATGATGATGATGTTGATAGATCTGAAGAAGCAGAAATGAAATTTCAAATATTGTTGGACATATGTAATAAATCACGGGAAAGACACACTGACATTCCGCAATTTAATCGATACCAAAATATTATCAGCTTAAAAATAGACGGTAACACGTTGTTCAACAGTGGTATTGATTTGCAACTGGAAGGGGTGACATTGTTAAGATCAGCACTTGGATATCAACAACAGCAACAATATCAGCTGGCTAACACAACATTCAGTCAAGCACGGATGAAATTTTCCAGAGCTATGGCAAAGTTCGAAGAAGGAAAAACATACGATGAACGATTTGCATCTTGCGCTAGTTTTGTCCAGGAAAAAATCGATGAAGTTGATCGTTCTATCGAATCTATAAGACAAATGAGGAACCAAGGACTTCAGAACTTGACTGTCGATATCGGAAATTACAATCATTCTGAACCTAACTCAGAAACATCTTCAACAGACAACTATAATCTAACACAACTATTGTAACAAAGAATCATGCACTTTATCACCAAAAAGCTTTGCATTTGCATACACAAGAATTATATGTAATGTAGCGGTGAAAAACAATAAAAGATAATCAACAACAGCTTCTACAGAAAGATACATGTGCTACGGATGCATATACTTAAATCATTTAAACATATAATCAATACTAAGTATCTCTATAATGAAAAATGGGTACTGTAGAAAATTATGTTTAATTATTGAAGTCTCATGTATGGTTTGAATAACACTTATAGAAGACTTTCTCAGTAACAAAGAAAGAGTAACAAAAAATTATAGTGTATGTATAATAAATTGGCTGATTTGATATTGATTAATAGGAAACATGTCACGGTTTGACTTGCTGTACAGGGCAAATCAAAATGATGTTTCATTACCCATTACTCTGTGGTGTGACTCAAGGTGCAATAAAGTACCACATTTTCTCTATAATCTGTTTTTTTATTCACGTCAATGTATAATGTGGTTGAAGTTTTAGGGGCAAATGAAAATTTTACCACCAAGTTTGCTCTTCTTTCCATAAATGTTTCAATTCTCCTAGGAATACAAAAAGTATTATTGTGGAAAAAACGAATGCGTTTCTGCGTTAAGTTCACATTTTTTTATATCGCCATTGTGCCACGTTTTTTTTATAAACAAGAGATGATCAAAGTGTGATTCCTCTTTCCTTTTATTTTTAATTAATAAATAACTATAAATGAAATCTAAGGGTCAGTCAATGGTATCTCTTCTTTGTACAATATCAATTAATAGCATATATTTTTTTCTTCAATTTCTTCAATAAATATCTTGCTTCTTAATAAACTTTTTAAATCTACTTACAATGACGTGATCAGCATCGATGTCGCCAAGGGACTCATTCATTCTGCTTTCTGGTTGTTCTGGATGCAAATGTTTTCTCCAAAAAGGTACTGGAACTGGTGTGGTCTTACCGGCCACTAGGATAAACTTGAAACAGGAACTTGAGAGGTCTTACCGGCCTCGGAACTCGTTCACAGGTTTCAGTAGCGATACCCAATTGCAAAAGTTTGAAAACTTTTACCTTCTAAGTTCAGCTGGCTTCTCAGTGAATCTTCTTGATTTCTGACCAAGTCACACTACTTGATGAAGGCTGGGCATCCTGTTCGCAACGCCAATTAAATAGTGTGGATCGTGGGTGATTGATTGCACTAAGGAATTATCACTCGCGTCCCTATTTCTCTTATAATCGCCAAAGAATGTTAGAGAAATACTTCAGTAACTTTTGTAGGGTAGCTTTTATTGAGGCATCAGCAACATTTGAGAACAGAAGAACAAGTAACGAAATGAGTGCAGAGAATAGTCAAAGACCCTTTTTATATACTAGGATTAGAGTTACGAATTTTCCAGAAATCAGTAGTGTCGGGTAAAAATGCAAGCATCTTCACATCCTGTCTCTCGGGTATGAGACGGTGTTATTCTCGTAGAGACTTGAATGGTGTTAATGCTTTAAGGTAATGGCATTATGATACCATAACTTATATGCCATTAGAAACTGGACGGGTAGTACCCAAACCAAAACAACTAAACGTAAGATACAAAATAAAAGTGTACTACTCCATAAACTGGTGTTTGGGGCGTTAATATCCCAAAATCTGGAAGTTAACAAAAACAAATGCCGGCGCACAACCAAAATCACAGCGGAAAATCAAAATAGCGCTGGACGCGTCGGTACGCAATTAAAAGAAAGTATCTTGATAGTAAATCACATTTCAAAAGAAAGTACCTCGATAGTAAATCAAATTTTAACAGAAGGTATCTTGATAGGTAAGTAAACATTGAAAGAAGCTTAAATGAGTGGAGTGAGAGGAGGTATCTTGATAGAACCAAATATATCTATACGGCTAGTACGTGAAAAGTCACAAGTTGGCGCGCTGGTCAACTATCTACGAGGGACCAACAAAAATTTATAAGGAAATTTCTGAGATAGTCGTTAATAATACTATAACATTTGTGTCCAAAAGATTTCAAAACAATACTGAGTAGCTGAGAGCGAAAGATATAATACGTGTGAAATTATAATATCAATAGACTATGAAATGTACCAAAAGAAAATCATTTAAAAGGGTTTGGCCTAGGAATCGGTACTCTACTATTAATAAAGAGAAATTCAAATAACTGATAAGTGATCAAAATAGTAAAAAGACGGCTACGTGTTTTTGGCACGTCACAATTGATACCGTTTACCTACAGTGGCTAAGGAAATAAAAACTTTTAACTTAATTTAAGAACACGCTGTATGATAATATCACGCTCTACCCTTTTGAAATACAGGGTCAGCCAATAAACCATACCTACCTCATCCTCTAATTTTGGGTGCATGAAAATTCAAGCGAGTATTGCTCTTTTCATTATTTTTTTTAATTCACCGACGGCTCGTTTCTAATGAAACACTTCCTCCTGTTTCTTCATTCCATCTATGTCCCTAATAGTACCTCGATGACCACCTTTACAAATACAAACCTTTGCATTCTAGGATTGATCTTACGTGACCTTCCAACACCGTATCTTGAAACTTACATACTTTTTAACAATATCGGTCGGCACCGTAGACTTTGAGACATTTATTTGTTTAGCAATATCCCGAAAACCCGTTCCTTGATGAAACAATTTTATGATTAAAACTCTGAGTGCACCATTCATTGCTTTACCACGCAAATTGATTCACAGAATTGATTCTTAAATCAAAACGTCAAATTGTAAACACTTTTTTGTTTCGTATATGTTCGTAATTGATTATTGATGGTCTAACTACTACCGGTCATAACACTTGACGCCATTTATTCTTTAATCAAGCTGTATAGATAAAATTAATTCACTTTTCAGCTCTCCAAGTACATCGTCAAGCTGTATAGCTTCGTTATACATCCGCAGCCATCAAGTTTTTGTGACGACGCCTTTTTGTACAAGTAGCACCGAAAAAATGAAACGCCATCAAGCTAAACAAATTGGCAACAGCAACGCTAAAGCTATAACAGACTTAAAAACAGCTCGCGACAAAGTAAGCGATGCTGCTCAAAATCTTTTTGAAAGCGGCGAATTGACAATTGAAACTGTGAAACAGTTATCTGATGTCATCGCTGACGAGCAAGGTTATCAGAAAGAACAAGTTGTTGTGTGTGATATTGCAGAACTTGATCAACATTTGTCTCAAATAAGTCTCGACCTTTTAAAACAACCGACGTATGTAATTTATCGAAATGAAAAAACATTCGTTATATTTTGTGTCCTAAAGCTAGATGATAAAATTGTTTGTTTGTATAAAGATTTCTGTGATACTACAGTTTCAGGTACTCTAAAGAATATTCTAGAACAACGTACTCGCACGAACGTTGAATATAAAGTCCATGCCGTCACAAACAATAACGAAGATACAGCTATTTTGGCCTTGAAAATGTTAGAAACCATCATGATTCAGTTAAAAACAGATACATGGATGGATTTTATCCATAACTTTACTAATTCTAAAAAAACGTTTTTTGAGTGGCTGAAGATTGGAGTCGGCAATCTAAAAAACGAGCTATTCCTCAAAGTGAAGCATGCATACTCTGAAGCTTTTACCAGTGCAATTGATCAGCTGTCAGCAGACGAAGAATTCAAGAAAGCAATAAAAGTGTTCACCGATAGCATTCCATCGATAGAAGAAATGGAAGATGTAAATAACTATCAAGTTCTTTTGAAAAAGTTTGCGGACATCGAAATAAGCAAAATCAATATCGATGACAAAGAAGTTCTTGAATTGCGAAACAAACTGAAGCGTGCACGACAAGCTATACTCAAAAAGGCTGAAGAAGCGATGAACACAAAAACATATCGAAACGAAAAAGATGAAACCGAATTAGATATCGTCAAAAATTTTCCGGAACAAATGAAAAAATTTACTAACATTTTCCAGCTACTAGCAAAGTCTAAAGTAGATGATAACTCTGATAAAGTACTTAAAGAAGTAAGTGAAAAGCTGGGGCTTGATTATAAGAAGATAAAAAGTTACTTCAAGACTACAGTAGAAACAAAACCTGAAGAAATTGGAGCAGACAGCGTTAGTGGCATTAATTGTGTCATAAATAACCTGCCAGCTATGGAAATTAAAGATGATAGTGTCTCGCATACGACTAAGTCTTTCACGCGGTTGTTAGACGAAACGGCAGTGGAAAATCCAAACGTAGCAATTGACGTATTAAAAAAGAATCACGGTACGGTGAAGTCATTTCGCAGATCATGGTGCAAAAAAGAAGCTTCGCAAATATATCAATGGGCAGTCGGTAAAAAAGGAAGCCTCAAAGAATTTGAAATGTACGAAGCTTTGGCAGTGATGGATAGAGCTAACGAGCTAGCTACTGGAGGGCATACACTCCGCGATACTCAAATTTTGTCTATTATAGCTTTCTTACGACAAAAGAACAAAGGTCTGTTATCTCAAATTCAAACAGGAGAAGGAAAAACGAACATCGTCGCAATACTCTCTGCAATATTTGCGCTGCAAGGTAAACAGGTGGACGTTATAACCAGCAATCCAGTTCTAGCGTCCGAAGTTGTCAAAGACAAGCGAAATTTCTACGGCTTATTAAATTTGACCGCATCGACAAATAACTCGGACGACAGCTATGAGAGTGGCGCGAGAAAATGCTACGAAGCTGACGTTGTGTACGGAAGTATCAACAATTTTCAGTTTGACTTCTTGAAGGACTCGTTTTTAGGCCTGAATACGCGCGGAGGCAGACCATTTGACAAAATCATCCTAGATGAAGTCGACAGTATGATAATTGACAATGCAAGTCATATAGCCAAGCTGTCCAATCCGTTGCCTGGTATGGAAAGCTTAAGATACGTTTATATTAATATTTGGCTGGCACTGCACAAAGCTGAAAAAAGTATTGTAGAGCATTTACAAAAACAACTTAGGTTAAAAGCCCTAGAGGTTTCAGGAAAGCCGAATGCTCAAATGTTATACGAACAATATTTGAATCAAGAAAAACATTCTATATCAGACAGGATCAAAGAATATATCAGGTCTTCTAATCCCACGAAAATTGATCTTATTCCCTCACATCTTAAAGAATATGCCGATAAATCGTTAGAAAAATGGATGAAAAGCGCCATAGATGCAAAATACTACTACGAAGAGGAGGTACAGTACGTTATAGGATACAATGACGGAGAGAGAGTTGTTCAACCTGTGGACTATTCAAATACAGGCATTACAATGAAAAATATGATGTGGCAATACGGCCTCCATCAGTTTTTACAACTGAAGCATAACTTGCATTTAACCTCGGAGAGTTTAACAAGCTGCTTCATTTCCAATCTGGGTTACATTAATAAATATGGCGGGAACATATTCGGTGTTACCGGTACCTTAGGTTCCGCGGCTGAGCGAGAACTGTTATCTTCACTATATAATGTGGAATATTTGAAAATTCCCACATTTAGAGAGAAAAAGTTCACCGAAATCCATGGTGAGGTGGTTGATCCGGAGGAACTTTGTAAGAAAGTAACAAGTGACGCAATTTCCATCATCGATGATCGCAGGTCCGCTCTGATAATCTGCGAAACGATAAAACAAGCAAAGGCAATTCGAGATGCCTTAAAACGTGAACGAGATAATATCACTATCCGAACTTTTTTCAATGAAGATCACGCTCATGTTACCGAAGAGCAAGTTGATATTGCTGAAGTGATTATAGCTACTAATATTGCAGGTAGGGGTACCGACCTAAAGACTTCCCCTGAACTTGATAACAACGGCGGATTGCATGTGATTGTGGCTTTTTTACCTTGCAACAAAAGAGTGGAAGATCAAGCATTCGGACGAACAGCTAGACAAGGGAACAGTGGCACTGCCAAATTAATAATGAAAAAAGATGAGGTTTCGATATTGGGTGATGATTTTGAAGAAATAAAGCAGAAGAGAGACTTGAAAGAAAGAGAAAGAATCAGACATATTAAGGAAGTTAGGGTGAGAGACATTATTTTCCAGGATAAACTGTTCGAGCTATTTTCTGATTTATATACAAATTTGAAGAATAGGTATTTAGATACAGTGGGCTACAAATACGTACTAGATGATCTGAAAGAGTATTGGGCATTTTGGTTAGAACAAAACGACTTCAATGGAAGGACATTAATGGAAAAGAGTCCCGAAAAAGAATTTAAAATGTTCGAATCAAAGGCGCGGGGAATAATAGAGGGAAAAATTCTATTCAATCAGTTCTATGCTATACAACAAGCCGAGCGTTATATTTTGTTAGATCGAGTAGAAAATGCTGAGAGCGCTTTGAATCGAGCTATTGCTTCGAGCAAGAACCCAGAAATATTGTACGGTGCTTACATGAAACTATTCGACATTGCTGTACATCAAGGCGGGGTATTTGTGGATAAATGTAGAAAGGCTATAGGGGATATTGTCCCTCTACCAATGCCTGAGCCTGATAGAAACTACAAGCAAAAGGCTAAGAAATATCTAGAATTAGCTGAAAGCGCAATCAAAAAAGAGTTAGACTATATCGAACACATTTTAAAAGACGATGAGCTTCCTAATATTATTAACAACGAGAGCGCAAACGTTATTATTAACGACTCATACTGGTTCAGCGATGATGATATGCATATCATTGGCGAAACAGTTCTCAAACCCTTTGTGGAAAATATTGAAACTCAATTCCTAAGTAGATTGACTGACGATCAAATCGACACGTTCTGTAAAGACTTTCAGTTAAACCACAACTTACCAGTTTTCATTTGTTACGACATAGGTGGCCAGCACTGGATCGGCATTTGTATTCTCAAAACTGCAGATGGTGTTTCCTTATTTTATAAAGATCCGAAAGGCGACTTCGCAAACAATCTTAGGCTGGCGAATACTGAATTTGGTAAGCGCCTGAAAAACCTAAGCGTCATTGCTCATAGTGGATCTGAACAGAAGGACGGCTGCTCGTGCGCCCCTATAACACTGGACAATTTGAGAATCATGGCCAAATCAATAAAAGATGTTGGGTTAGAGAAATTTGTCGAAAACTTCACCACACTGAAGTTTTCCGAACAAAAAGACGTAGCACGTCTAAGAAATGAATTTGCCCGTCCTAGAGAAGACAATATAAAGGAGAACCTATTAATAAAACATATCGTTTCACGACAGGTGGCTTTGAATCTTTATATGAATCATTCTGCCAGCTTAAAGACACAAATCGATGAGCGTACAGGTGGAATTTCTATAGCCTGCCGCATCCCTGACTATTTTTCTACATCCGAACGACAAAATACAATAGAGGAGTCTGGACTATCTAAATTAACTGCAACTGTTAGAAGTGTCGCTAATAATCCTATTCTGAAGAACGTTATTGGAATTGCTGCAAACAGCCGTATCCCGGATCATTTCTCCAAATTCGAGCCGCAAAACGATGAGGAAAGTAAAATAAAAAATGTCGTTGGAAATTGCGAGTTATCTGAATTAGCTGCGACTGGTGCAAATATCACGTATGCTCTTAGACAGGTCCATGACGTCTGTCCAGGAATTGTTAACGGTGCACGAATTCAAATCAGCGGAGGTATAGCACTATTCGCTACCGGATGTTGCTTTCCACCTGCCCAGATAGTCACTTCCTCACTTTCCGGTACGATGATCACCGAAGGAATATGTGACATTGTCTTCGAATTGATCAACATGAACAGTGACGGGCAGTTCAATAAACAGGCGTATGTTAAAAGTAAGGTTATAAGTTATGGTATATCGCTGCTCACTATGGGTATCAATGCGCTACTTCAATGTCCTAAGATCTTGAACGCAGCGAAGAAGGCTTGCCGTTGGATATCTACAACTTTACGCAGATGTCCTTACCTTAAAGGAGTGTGCGAGTATTTAGCCACCAAGATTGACCAACTTCATACGTGGTTTGACAGAATGGAGGTCTTAACAAAGTTCAGCAAAATGAGTGACGCTGAAAAGTTGAAATATTATAAAGAATTGAAGAAATCTAAAAATTTGACCGAACTGACGTACCTAGGTAAGAATTTGCAAGAGATACGAATTTTGGAAGAAACAGGTATTAGGATTAATGAATTGACTCGTTTTGAAAAATGTCTCTCTTCTTTGCAACAAGTTTCTTCGAGCATTGCAAGAAATGTAACGCAGAGAACTGCAGAACATGTAATAATGAATAAAGTTATTACTCCAATGCTGAGTTCTTCGATGGCAGGATTGAAGCCAAAAATTAAAGAGCAAGTTGCAAAATCTGTAAGAAAAAATATAGACAGAGAGAAGATACGGCGCGCTACCCTCGATGACGTTCAAAACATCATCAAAAAGATAAATGATTCCATCAATTTCGATACTATAAAAGATATTTTCAAAGACACAATTTTGGGAATAACGAAGTACTGTAGTGACTATAGAATACAATTAGCATCGTTGGCAATTGATCAGTACCGTTGTTGGGAAGAACTATACAATTACGTAGAAAATCTTTGTAAAAGCATAAATATCAACTTGGGTCAAAGTGAATTTGAAAATCATAATACCGACGAACTTATAAATGAGTTGATCGAACAAATATCGGAGGTTGTGTATGGAAAATTATTAAACGCCATAACGAAAACGTGTAGAGATATTCATTCTGTAGGAAAATCAGCGTATCAAAATTATAAAAAAAACGAAGAAGAAAAAGCTAAATGTTTGAAGATAAACGAAGCGTTTAGAAAAGGGGGACCAGCTAGTCAGGAACATGTTAGAGCACTGAGCGATGTTATTAAACGACCTATTCATATTTGCGAAAGAAATGGCAACAAAGTGATCTTAGGAGAGCAATATTCAGGTGATCCCATAATATTAGATTACTTTCCGCCAGATAACAATAATGAGACAGGTCACTACGTGCCTCAAGGCAAATCAGAAAATTGGTCTTCTAATGATAATAATGACTGCCTTTTACATGCTGTAGGTTCAATTATCGGCGAAAATTCCAGCAAACTAAGAGAATTGATAATCAAGCGAATCGAAGAGGATCCGACACGCTACATAGATAGCAACGCTCGTAATTTTGTCGAAGAAGATATATTTTTGGAAGGCGGTCAAAGGAAAGGAAAAAGAAAGTCTAATCCGATCGGAACAGATCACTACCCGTCCTATCTCAACAGAATCAAAGTGATTCCTCGTGAAAAATGTGAACGGATATTCGGCCAGATCGCTGACAAGCTGGACGATTACAAAAAGCGCGAAGAACGATTTTCCCAGAAGGGTCAAGCTGAGAAGCTGCGTCAAACGAGAATCAATGAAAACGCGCCGCAATTTTGCAGTACAGAAGACAAAGAAGAAATGATGATGGGCATACTCATCGCGAACTTCACCAATGGCGATCGATGTAAGCTGATGACTGTATCTGGGTCGGACCAGTTTTCGACAACAGCAACAGTTTCGCACGATGAGAATTTGCGAACGACCAAATCTACGAAACCAGCTTCGTTCAGGATACACGACAAAGAGTTCGAATTCGTCGACCCCGGCGAGCCTAAGGGCAACGTGTATGATGTGTATAACAGGCGAGAAACGGATGTTCCGTACACGAAAAGCTGTGCGGCTCAGAAACTAATGTACGACTTAGGTGTAAAAATGAAGAATAACTCAAACTTGAAAATAAAGGGTGAGTTAGAGATGGCGGAATGCTACTACGTCCCACGTAAGGATAAATATAAATTGAATCCAATTATCGAAGCATCGTGCGCGAGGTGTGAGGGGGTATTGCCGACCGCCACTGGTAAAAGTGGTAAAGGTGATAACTAATAAGGGATGTCTTTTAAGTTTTGCATATGGAAATAAAACGACACGATAGGTAGTTTTAAATGACTTTATTGTTTTTCCACGAAGATTAATACACATCTGCATGCGCTCAAACCAATTTTCGAAGCACTTATTCCACTCGTTTGCTGGCAGATCCAAAACGGCATTTTTGAATGCGTCAACTGCTTCCTCTGGTGACTGGAACCTTTGACCACGCAGTCTGTTTTTAATTTTCGGGAAAGTAAAGAAATCGTTACGACTTAGATCGGGACTATATGGAGGATGGTCCAATAATTCCACGTTTTCTTCCGTTAACTACTGCCTTAGTTTTATTTAAGCTTTAAATCATTAAATCTTCATTATCTTATCTTCATCATCCAATTACAGAAAAAAAAACAATATTTTGTGAAGCCACTCTGCAGTCCTGTAAGCAGTGCAATAACTTTGAGATCGACACAGATATTCCACTTCATATTTTATGCTTTGGAGTAAATATTAGGCGATGTTCTGGTATGTTTCTTTCATATTTACAGCATGTATCATGTTTTGAGATGGCCATCTTCACTGAGACAGGGCTCGTATAGTCCGGTCACTGCAAAAACCAGATAAAAGTTTCTAGTAATCGGCATTTATATATTTAGCAACACTATAGTGTATTTACACCCAAGATAGAATGGATGCGTGATTGCCAAAAGCAAGGACGGCGTACAAATACACTTAACAACAACAACAACAGCAACAACCGAGCAAGGTGAATACGAAAACACGAGCACGCAGTGATACACGCGACGGACGGTGGCCTGAGTGCAACTCTGCCTGCCCTGCCCCTGCCCCGCGCATTATTCCGCCAGGCGACCGCTTGAAATTTAATGGCGAATTGACCAATAAGAGGCGTTGTCCCCACCTGTTACCGAGAGATCACGCGCTAACTGTTAGTATTTACATACATCTCATCTTGAATTTGGATTCAGTTTAGATACATCTGGTCGGGGCGTTAGACTTGCGTGGAAGTTTCCTTTAAGTCCAGAATTAGAATATACTAAAACATAGACTAAACAATTATATCCGTAGAAGGTTTGAGTGTAAAAAGAGTAAAAAATGGAGCTACGTTATTTTCGCAATAAACTGATGATATAAGCAATTTAAAAACGATCCATATTCAACAGTTCTTGAGCAATAACTTTCTTATTAATTTATTGATTGACATCAACCTGGTCTCAGATGGTCATTAATAAAAGCTACATGCCTCATCACTATTTTAAGGCTCAGTTCAAAAAATAACAGCGAGAAACTGCTTTTGGCCATATTTTATTACTATTTTAACAAAAACCGCAAACAATAACTATTGCATATCGGTGCATAACTCTAAAACCTCCTCTATCATGTTTCTAAATGATTTATTTACATCTCAAAAAATAAATCTTGTAACTATAAAATGTTTCCATAATACACATACAAGGAAATGTTTGAAAGAATGAAAATAATGTCTCCATTAATCTTTCATAAGCTCAAACATTTCATTTGTTCCTCACAACATAAATGAGTGGTGGAATGTATTACAGGCTTTATTAATTGTAGAAACATATTATACGATTTGCGAAGCTATTTTGAATATTTGTTGTATGTTTACCCCTTGAATAATATTCATTATACTTGAAATATGTTTTCGCTTGTACATACGAGCCCCTTCCCACTTCAGTTGGCCCACTTCAAGATTTGTACCAAAATATGCCTTTATAAACTAAACATGACGAAACTATTTACTTCTAAAACAATTTATTTTCTCAAAAACATTTTAGATACAATCTAGTCGTAAAAAATACATATTTGAAGTCACTTAGACCTATAACTAATAGAACATCTGAACAAATAAACAATGTGCGAATAAATGCGCGAAGTTAACAAAGCAACAATTGAAAGATTACCACTGGGTAACATCACCTTTATTTTTACTACGGCTGAAATTCTTGGGGGCATAGTGTTAATCAAGTTTTGGCAAAAATTTGGTGCAGAACAATCCCATATTTCTTGAAGCTTTTGTCTCGGTTCGGTGATTGTACGAGCAGGATGTTGTCGTAGAACCTTTTTCATCTCGTGCCACAAAGTTTCACTAGGTGACAGATCTGGACCGGTAGAAACCCATTTCAAAAGTGGTACATTATTTTCTTCTATCCATTTTATATCCTTTTTTGAGGTACGGCACGCTGCACCATCTTGCTGAAACACAAAATATTGGCCGGATGTCAAACATTCTTCCATCAGTGGTAAAAGCGATTCTTCTAAAATTGCCAAATATTTGTTTGTATCCACATTTCCATCAATAAAATGAAGTTTTCCTACTCCTTTTGATGACATACTGCCCCAGACCATAATGGATGCTGGAAATTTCACTTTTCTCTTCAGACAGTCAACATGGAATGCTTCATTTTTTTTGCGAATAACTCTACTGCGACTGAAACCAACACAAACTTCGAATCGGGCCTCATCACTCCATTGTATTGCACACCATTGTTGAGGTGTCCATTGTCTATGTTCTTTAGCCCATCTAAGCCGATTTTTTTTTTGCAGTGGAGTTAATAGTTACTTTTCTTTGGCCTATAAACAAGTTGTGCAACTTTAGGCTTTTTACTTCACTTTTTTTTATAAGAAAACTTACCTTGCAAGTGCTAAATCCCAGTTTGTGGGTCTCTCTATGAGTTGTGGACCTCGAAATTCTCCTTCCAACAGCGTCACTCCACAGATTAATTGCAAATAATTGGCATGCCTGTTTTTCACGATTATTCTTCTTAATGCATTTGTGATATTACTTTTTTTCACATATCGTGGCTTAATATTAACTGAACCAGTTACGTTATATCTTCTAACAATATTTCTCACACTGTACCGTGATAAGTCTAACAAAGTTGCAATTTCTAAGTTTGATTTCCCAGAATTAAAAAACTTAATTATCAGTAACCGAATTTTCTCACTAATAACCTTTCCTGTACCCATTTTGAAAACCTTAACTACCCAAAACTATTTTAAACGTATTCTGACAGCTGTGATTAATAAAAACAATTGTGATGGCTTTTGTTTTTCACAGCCACCTATGCGTTATAGACTTATTTTGCATTGAAATGAAAATAGGTTGATATGCTGTAATTGCAACATGAGTTATTTTTATACGGCAAATTTGATTAGGGAGTGAGAAAGTTGGTGTTTTCTACTATATATTATCAAAATATTCATTGTTAATATTTTGAACCTATAACACTCTGCTACATTTTTATTATTTGTGTTTGATAAGAAAAAAACTAAGATTTCAATAGTTGGGCCAACTGAAGAGGGAAGGGGCTCGTATATCTAGTATCACAAATGTTTGAGGTTATGTTAACGGCCGAACGATGGATTCCGCTTTCTCGGTTGTAGAAAAATGTACCGGGTATTTCAAGTTCTACCCTCGTCATCTTGTTTTGACAGTTTCCGAGATCCTAATGATGAAGGTCGAACTTGAAACACCCGCATCGCATCGCATTATTTTATAATTATTATTAATAATTATCCAGAAAATGTATTCTTATTTTCCTTGAAATATATTTAACCATAAGGTATATTCAGTAACTATAAAAAATGTTTAATTCATATTTCAAAGAAAGATCCTTCAAATCTCCATGTGGAGACATGAGTACATTATATATATATGATATAGAATATTCTCATTTACAGCTTGGAGGAAACTGTGCATAGACAATAATAGCAACATTTGTAGAAATATTCACGTCCGCGTCTCCTCTGCAACATGTTGCGAAGCAAATTTGTTGTGATAACGCACTTTCGGTCTGCAACATGTTTCGTTACAATACCCGCCTGGCACATAAGCTTGCAACTTGTTGCAGTGGAAACGTACCTTAACAAGGACTATTCTCCTTACGAAGAGGCATCAAAAGTTGCAGCTCATTGTTCCGAAGGCGTTTGGGATTTTGGAAATAGGATCGTAATGCCTGTACATTGAGTTAATCTACTTCCAGTTCTAGTATCTAGGTCTATAACACTACACAACAAATTTTAGTTTTTTAATTGTATCTTGTGGGAAAAGTACACTTCTTTGTTAATTTTGGGGCGCTGAATCCAAAAATGACAATGAAATAAAAAAATTAGTTGCGGTTTAGAAAAAAAACTTTTTATTTTTAAGGATATATTAAAAAAAGTAACAAGATTCATATACTTATAAGAATCACTATATGCGCTGTCTTTTTGCTGTTCTTTTGTGGATCGTTTCTGGAGCATCTCTACCAAGAGTCCAACAGTAGTCTGCAAGCATGATCGCCATGATCTGATTCGTTTTCTGATTCGCAAGTGTAGGATTCTGGGGGTTTTGGAATAGGATTTTCCTCACTGTGAGGCACAGGTCTCATCGCAGATGGTATGTTTGGGTAGTTAATAACCGATTTTTTTTTCTTGGACATACCTGTGGCTTGTCCAACACAAGGTACCATGCAAAAGTAACAATCATTAATATGATTTGTAGGCTCTCTCCAAACCATTGGGACAGCAAAGCGCATAGGCCGTTTTTTGCCATTTAACCAGCTCCTCAGACTTGAAGCACATGTATTACAGCAGATGTGGGGTGCCCACTGTTTGTCTTGATGACCTAGTTTACAACCGAAATAAAGCTGATATGCCTTTGTTATTAGTGGAGTAATAGACCGTCTCTGAGACGCAAAAGTCACATCACCACACACGTAACAAAACTGATCTGGATTGTTTACACACTTTCGAGATATCTTGCATGAACGCTGTAAGCCAACTGAGGAAAAAATGGCTAATATAAAACAATATAATGTACACGTATGTATAACGTAACACAATCATGCCGATTACATCATCTTTCCTTGCCGAATATAAAAATGTAGCACGTGCATTCTTGTGAATTACTGTATATTAACACTGTCACAGCAGGAACACATATAATTACCGTATCTCTAAAACTTGAACTAATATTGAAAAATAAGTTTCATTCCGGTTTTAGCACATTAAAAATAGTAATATTTTGTTGACTTTATTTAGGATATTTTTTGGCTGTTGATCAGTGTAATCAGTAGTTTAAGTTGATTTTCTGTAAAGTGTCCTCATTCAAGTAAAGGGCTATCTTACATTCACTTAAGTGTTGGTATCAGTACAGTTGACCCCCGATAATTCGGCCCCTGTCTAATCCGGCGCCCCCTGTAATCCGACATGTCTTTGAATATGTATTTGACAATCTTCGCTAATGTAGATCGCTGCAGGTTTGAACAGGTTACAACTTGTACGCGCCACCGCTATCGTGCTCGACGCGTAAGCATTGTTTTACTTAGTTTGAATTTGACTACTGGTGGTAGCGGCACGGCCTAGCGTGCGTTCATTGTTTACTATTTATTCATTGTGTATTAAGTATAGTACCTAGTAATGTCATCACAAACTCAGAAGCGAAAGCACAAAACATTGACAATTAAAGAAAAATGTGATATTTTAGAAAGCTTAAATCGCAATGAAACTTTCAGTAGGTTAGCAAGTGAATACGGCGTAGGCCGATCTACAATTTATGACATTAAAAGAAAGTTCGTATCAACTACTGACTGTGGGCCAGGCAAGAGACAGACACTCAAGAAAGCTGATCATCCAGAAGTGGAAGAAGCTTTGTACATGTGGTTTCTTCAGGAGAGAAATAGGTATGCACCAATTTCAGGACCCATGTTGGCCATGAAAGCTAAGTTTTTTTATAAGGAAATAACAAAAAAAGATGATTTTGTGGCCAGCAAAGGTTGGCTAGAACGTTTTAAAAGTCGTCAAGGCATACGTTTAATGACTATTACAGGAGAGAAACTTTCTAACGATGCCACCTGCATAGAGCCCTTTAAATTAAGATTTTTGCTAAAGGTGAACGATTTAAATCTTGACCCGTCACAGGTGTACAATGCAGACGAATCAGGGCTTTTTTGGCGTGTGATGCCTAACAAAACTTTCGTTTCTTGTAACGAAAAATCCGTACCTGGACGAAAAGTAAGTAAAGAGCGTGGAACCATACTACCATCTGCTAACGCTGCTTTTCATGAAATGTCTGACGAAGAGATTATAAAAGAGGTTTCTAATTATACAACAAACAATCAGGAAAATAACGCTTCACAAGTCACAGCACAAGACGCAATGAACGCCTTTGGGCTAGGTTTACAATGAGCTGAAGAGAATGGTACATCCTACAACGAACTTTTACTTTTGAGAAGACTGAGGGACAAAGCTCTGATCTCGCGTTATAACAACCTCGACCAAAAAAAATTGATGAATATTTCCAAGCTTCATAATTTGATATATTCATTAATGATTTTGATTAATAATTCTTTATTATTTTGGTACATATGTATGTGCATTTATGCTTAATTTTGAAATAAAACGTAAGCTTTCTATTGTTATTTAATTTACTAAATTTGGATATGTAATTTGTCGGATTACCAGGTACTCTTTTGTAAAAAAGTCCGGACTCTAGGGGGTCGTAGGCAGTGATCTATAATCCGACAAATTCGATAGTCCGACACTGCCCTGCATAATGTTTGTCGGATTACCGGAGGTCCACTGTAATGTTATACTTCTTAGAAATGTGTATATCAACCAACGGATTTGTTAACATTTGATAATAAACTTCTGTGTAATCATGTGTCATTAATTCTCGCGTTGACACCCTGTACACGAAATTATGCTAAATATGCAAATTTTGAGGTCCAACCGGATTCCCAGGGGGGCCTCGACCCCCTTGCCACCTCCCTTATTTATAAATAGTTTTCATAGGCGGAAATAGTACATTCAATCCAATTTCAAATACATTTTATTGGTTAATGTTCAACAAAAGTACATAGTACTGATATTTATACAAATATGGACTAGATTATATGTTGATTTTTACATAAAAAATATCATTTAAAAACTTAACACCTATATTAGCACCTCGTCTTAACACAAAAAGTATTGCACCCTGTTCATTTCAATGTTCATACTTGTCTTTGGTTATCTTTTACAGTAATAGGCTAGTTGACACTTTTTTATACATATAGTGAATATTTGATCTATCAGACCAAAATAATCAATGCTGTTTTTTCAGATCTGAAAGACCGTAAAACCTTAAATTACGAATATATTTTTCTTGGAGAGGCGAAAAGGCTATCCGCCATGTTTGGCCCATATCTGACATCATACTGTTCGTAAACAGCATCTGACATAACCTATCAAACATTTTTAACATATAAGCTTGACGTCATTTTGCGCTTTTAAAAATTGAAGTCGACGTATTTCGTTCTTTTAAGGCAAATACTGTAAGAAATAGTTATTTATTATACAAAGGAAAAAGTACTAGCTAAAATCTAGTATTTTTCCCGTATACAGGGTGTTTCAGTTTATTGTTGCATAACTTTAAGATTCGATAGAACTTTTAAAATTAATGCATCAGGTCTATATAAACGTGGGTCGAAAAATGCGCGGCTTCCGAAATAGGGTGTTTAAATTTACTTTCTAAAATAGTTTTTTTTAAATATTTCGAACAATATTTAATGCATAACAGTGAAAATTGGTATACACGGGTTTTTTGGTACGGCAAAACGAACCATGGGCATAGTTTTACTGTAGCCGCTAGAGGGCACTCTCTACTGTACCTGTAGTGTATTAAAATGTCCGAAAAATTTTTCTTAGTGATATTTTTGGCTTTTTAAATAAAAAAACTGATTCTTCGCACTTTTCAACACAAAAAAGCTCTCCTGTGAGTTTTCGTTATAGTTAGCCGTTTTTGAGATATTTCGATGTTTAAGGTTCGATGCATTTTTAATTATTTATGGGAAAATAATATTTTTTTTACATTTTCGATTTGGGCATTACAAGTAATTAAGATGATCGTTTAGATTGTGTTTTTAAACACGGCAATAATTCCTAACTCCTAATAAACACAAAAAAACAGAATATTAATTTGTTTAATTTTCCAATATTATTTTTAACAAATTAAATTAATTATTTACAACTAAAATGCTATTGGATAGTTAGGACAAACATACAAAATCTAAAGTAGTTGCTCGAAATGTAAACCCAATTGTTCAATACACAATTCACATCTACGAATGATCGAACGTGGTATAGCATTATTTAAATAAGGCCTTATTTCATCACATGCATTCCTGATTCTGTCTATTGGCATATCTCTTGTAGTTACGGGAGTCTGGTACACTTTTTCTTTTAGAAATCCCCACACAAAGAAATCTAATGGATTTAGGTCAGGGGATCGTGGATGCCAGGCGACTGGTCTCCACAACCTACTTCTAAAAATTATCGAGATACTGACTTTTTAACGTTATTTTATCATAAATAATTAAAAATGCATCGAAACTTAAAAATCGAAATATCTCAAAAACGGCTAACTATAACGAAAATTCACAAGAGAGCTTTTTTATGTTGAAAAGTGCGAAGAATCAGTTTTTTTATTCAAAAAGCAAAAAATTGCACTAAGCGAAATTTTTCGCTCATTTTAATATACTACAGGTACAGTAGAGAGCGCCCTCTAGCGGCTACAGTAAAACTATGCACATGGTTCGTTTTGCCGTACCAAAAAACCCTTGTATACCAATTTTCACTGTTATACATCAAATATTGATAGAAATATTAAAAAAAACTATTTTAGAAAGTAAATTTAAACATCATGTATTTCGGAAGCCACGCATTTTTCGACCCATGTTTATATAGACTTTATGCATTAATTTTAAAAGTTCTATCGAATCTTAAAGTGATGCAACAATAAACTGAAACACCCTGTATAATACACAATTTTTGTAACGGGAAAAACGACGATTTATTATTGAAAAATTATATTCTTACAATATTTTAGACAGAAAATTATCGATGTGAAATTTGAATTTTGAAATTAGTAGGCTATGTTGTACTTATTAGACCTGCGTTGCTAAGGAAACTTTTAAAGTAATCAAATAGCTGTAAATTAATTTTGTGATTCGTTTTAAAAATTGTGAACTTAGTGGTTGTTTAGAACTTATTTTTAATATGTCTAAAATTGTCTGATTCCGAGTTTTCTTTGACCTCACCGGAATTAGTAGAAGTAGCCAAAGTATCGTGACAAAAATTATTGCCAGCTAAATCATTTGTACAATATCCGGGAAAAAAGTAATCTCATAAAAAGTGACATTTTGTTACCTGTCAACAACGATAAAATGTCCCGTCACAAAAAAATACTCATTTATTTAGGTATCAGTCAAACAGCCTATTATTACATACTCGTACAACACGCATACTCTACAAAAAAAAAGCAATAACTTTTTTCAATTGTTGTCACTTATTCCTTTTACCAAAGTGAGATAAAATTACGAAAAGTATTACAAAAATCATCAGATGCCATCACACATTTTCAGAAAACATACAGGGTGTCCGCAAAGTTGGGGTTTTCCTTTACACGACGTGTAGATCTTGAAAACATAAGCAATTTTTCTTAGTACCATATACACCAATGTCTTAAGGGAACCGAGATAAAGGGCTCTGCAACATCAAAAATATCTGAATACCGTCCTGTCAGCCGCGACCCGCCGGGATATCCCAGACTGGTACAAGGTCTCAACCCGACGGCAGAACTGGGTCGGGGTCAGTGTGTCAGGTTAGTATGCAACCTTCAACCGACGGTTACGGTCACGCGTGTAGAGGTAATCGCGTAGACGCGAATCCCTCAACAAGCACTAGAGACGTGGCTAGAGAAGTGCAAGTATCAAAAACTAAAGTGTGGCAAACGCTGCGTGAAGAAGGGCTGTATCCGTTTCACGTCCTACGTGTACAAGCCCTTCAACCTGACGATTTTCCAGCAAGAGTGCGGTTTTGTGAGTGGTTGTTGCATCAACATGACAATAATCCGGACTTTTTGAAGTGCATATTGGTGACAGACGAATCTACGTTCACGCGTAATGGGGTGAATAACTTTCGCAACACTCATGTTTGGTCATTTTCAACAAACGTTCTCGGTGAATGTTTGGGCTGGCATGGTGAACGGTATGCTTATTGGACCATTTATTCTCCCAAATCGATTGGACGGGATGCAATACCTAGACTTTTCACGCAACATTTTGCCTTCCTTGTTAGAAGATGTGCCATTAAGTGTAAGACAATCAATGTGGTTTCCGCGTCTGCTCGGTAGCGCTTCAGCTGATTTCATTTTCTGTTGGAGCGGTATGATTTCGGGCAGAGACGTACTTTGCCCTTCTTGTCAACTGGAGAGTGACTACTTTTTCCTTTATTTTTTTTTACTTGGTCGCCCTCGTTTCACTACACATTACCTTTGTTATTTCAAGGGTGGTTGTTTCTGAAAAGGAAAACCCCAACTTTGCGGACACCCTGTATAAGCTTATTATATGTTAATTTTGTTGTATTTTGTATAGAATACTGAGTCACAAACTAAAAAATAGAAAAGACTAGCTGTCACTCGATTTCATTCAGATGAATTGAAAAATTAGTTTTAAATTACACATACCTAGACCAAGCAGTCTCCTCGCACGTGATGGGGAAAGGGTAATACATGAATTATTGAATATCTCCCTCATGTATAGAAAATGCCTTAAGAGGTGTGGAATTATCGCAAAATTACAGCGTTTTTTTTTACGCGGACAACGGTAAATTCTCAGTGAAAATTGCCCAGTGGGTACTATAAAAGATTTGCAATATGACTTAACAAACCCCCCAATACATTTTTAAACATTGTATCTTGTGTAGTATTCGAGATTCACGTTCACTTAAAATTTGTCATTATATAGTAGTATATTTCGTTCATGTAAACATCCGTATTTTTTTAAAGTTCTAATGTACCCAAAAAATCATAAAAGCATAAAAAGACAGACCATAACGAACAAAACAACGTTTTGAACTTGTTTTGTTTTTTTGAATATAATGAGAATGAATAAGACTGCAAAAAATCGGAATCAGATGCGAAAATACTGCCCGGTGTAACGCATATAAACATTAAAACAACAATCGTTCATTCTCAATTTTTTACCTAATTCTCCACAGACAAGTATTTAAATACATATTTCAGCCTACAAGATTCATAAGAACCTTTAACATAATTAGATTCTCAGTTCCATGGGCCACACCGTTTTTTATCTGACAGAAATTTGAGCATAGAAATGCAAGAATATTAAGTCTTCAACATCATGCTTCTTAACGTATTTGAAGACTGGAAGTAAATAATGTGCAAGTGCCAAAAAATCGGTTTTTTATTTTATACTTGTAACATGTTCTAGGTGCCTTAAACAACAACACAGATTAGCGCTAAGTGCCATGGCTATTATATTATACTGAAAAAAAACCCAACAGAGTGCACGCTTGTCAATCGCCATAAAGCCGCCGATAAAAAATGTGCCAACGAATAGAGCCTTGGAAAACATCGAAGATTTTGAAGAAAAATGTTGCTATTGAAACTATCGCAGAAATTACTCTTTCAAACCTGACCTTCCAAAGAAGAATAAAGAAAAGAAGAAGAAAGCTAATTTTTTTCTGTTTTTTTTTTATGATTATTTCATTATTATTTACCACAATACTTACATTTTTGTGACGGCACTTAGCACATTCTATGATTTAGTAACTATTAATTTTTTTTCTGCTAGTATTTACAAAAAGTTCCAGAAAATATTAAGTACACAGGAAAGTACTTACTTGAATAAACCTATGTTTAAATTGTCAGGGCAGATTTTTTTAATACACTGATTGTAGAACAAAAAATATTGCTTATCTCAAAACAATAATTTTGGCACTAAGCACATTATTTATTTACTTATTTCATGTCTTCATTTTACCTGAAGACAGTCAATCATACACTGTATTTTGACGTTTCCGATACTAGCGCCGTCTATGAGACTGTAGATGAACAAGACACACCGACGCTTTCTAAATTCATTTAAACTTCCTACGTCACTGGGCGAGCAAGTATTGTAATCGATGCAAAATTCGAAAATCAATTTTTTTTTTGATATTGTATGACATGTAGATCATGTGACTCAGTTCGGTCGGTCCGTTTGTCTGTTTTCTTGTGTATCTATCCAGTGGCCGCACAGAAAAAGGTCAAAGATGAAAATTATTAAAATCGCTCAAACCTTGTTTTTTAGGGGAGGAGGATCCTGGTAATAATAATAATGAAAATAATACTGTCCATGAGCTTAATGCAGACGGTTTCGATAGGAGGTTGCAGTTTTGCGAATTAATATCCCAACGTTTAATCAACAATGCAAATCTGTTATTAAATATTTGCTTCTCGGATGAGTGTGCATTCTATTTACATCATGCTCAGTGGCGTTGCGTGACTAAACGGCTAACGAGTGAGAAGTGACTAACCAAATCTAAAAATGGTAACAAGCCCACATAATAGTCGCAGCGCCCCACGCACTCGGGCGACCGCGATCGGACACGAGCCGGTACCGACGGTCCCCGAGTGTATCCGTAAATGAAAATGGTAACAACCGACAACCAAGTCAGCTTCATCGCGTAAATAAACATAATTGGCGATATTGGGGTGACTCGAATCCACATTTGTATCGAGAGGTACACTCGCAATATCCTGAAAAAATAAATGTGTGGACCGGCATTTTCGAGAACAATAGAAAATTATAATGCATATTACATTCATTTCCAACAAGGTGGTGCATAATTTCTAGAATTCTATTATATACTCAAATAGCTTCTCACCGATTGAAGATAGGCAAAACCATATAAAAGTTACTAAAAACTTCATGGAAAATCTAAAAAATCTAACGGCTATAGATGGAAAGAAGTCTCCCTAGAAATTGAAATTGAGGTCTCCGAGGGTTTTCCCCAAGATATACCAAGAGAGTCACAAATGGGGTGCGACTTTTTCGTTGGGCCACCCTGTATAATTTCAAACTTGCTGTTTTTTAAAATTTAAGATTTGATTGTCCTCTTACCTATCATACAGGGTTTGTCCGGAAAGTAATAGGACTCATTTTCTTGGTCAGTTGTCTCCGAGCTCTTGGAGAGTCAGGACAGGCATTTTCGCGCGACATGTTTCTGTGAGTGGTGCAAGCGGAAAATGCAGCGTTCTTTAGAGCAGAGGTACGCGATTAAATTCTGTGTGAAACTCGGTAAATCTGCGACAGAGACGTTTGATATGCTCAAGCAAGCTTACCCAGAATTGCAACGATTGGCTCAATAAATTTTTTTTAAATCGACTCAGTCCTATTACTTTCCGGACAAACCCTGTATATTCACACGATTTTTCGTGATGTACATGTCATACAACATCCACAAAAAACGTGATTTCATATTTCTCAATTTTTTTTATTTTGTTATTTCTCTATTACGATACTTCCTCGCCAGTTTTGGCCTGGGAAGTAAAAGGGGCATGAGATCCTAACTCATAACTCAGCACGCATTCGCGTCACTAGAATGCGCCGATGAGTTATCAACCTCATCCCTGCTGAACTCGTTGATCGTCAGTTCATTGTCGCCCTTGGAACTCCTGGCTTGTTCGCCTTCGGCGATATTCCCTGGAAGGTAGTCCTTCCACGATCTGAACAAATACCTGGTGAACTTCCTGAGTTGTCTGAACTTGCAGTAAGTCGCTCCTTCGGCGCTTTCAGTTTGCTGCGTTTGAATGAGAAAGCCCTTTTCCTTGAACGTTTGCTCTAGCTTTTCGCGTTGCAGGCTTTTTCTTGATTTTCTTTTCTTCAGCTTTTGGGCGGCCAGTTCCTGAAACCAGAAATAATCTACATATCGTTACGCCCTCGTAACTAGAACTTTGTGAGCCACCCCCGTACATGAGCGCTTAAGCGACGAGAACTCGACGCCCATCGAGAAGAATCGACCGTTATCTAAACAAATCTAAGGGTTGTCTCAAAAATAAGGTTCCCACATTTGAAAAAACGTTGATCTTCAAGGCTTGTCCCTGCTTTCGCTTTTTTTCAACTACCTGTTTGCAACAGTATTCTGAATCATTTTCATCTGATTACTTCATGATGTATGGAGATGACCAGCAAACATCGTTTTTAATTTCGTTTTGTCATAAAATGCATTTTTGTGCATTTTAGTGTGGTTTTTTTCTTCGATCGTAACTTGCTAACAAATATTAGTACAGCTCTGAAATTGTATGTTGATATTCCACTTTCATCGATGAATGAAACAAGTAATTACTTTTACCCTTATCACTTTTTCTCCTTAAAAATTTTTTGCTTTGCTTGAAAACTCAACTTGCTGCGAGTCGAGGCTTCAAGAAAATCAAAGATTTTTCGAAAAGCAAAAGTGATAAGAAAAAAAGTAATCACTTGTTTCATTCTTCCATAAAAGAGGAATATTCACAAACAATTTGAGAGCTGTAATTATATTTGTTAACAAGCTCCGATTGAAGAAAAAATGCACAAAAATGCATTTTTGAGAAAAAAAATCGAAATATTGTTTTTTAGTCATTTCTATACACACCATGAAATTATCAGATGAAGAGGATTTAGAATAGTGGTGCAAACAGGTAGTTGAAAAGATATAAAAAAACGGAGGTGCCACCTTGAGCTATTTGTCTACATAGTCTCCATTTTTCTACACATTTTTTCACCACCACCAGCCCGATTGGAAACTTGGTAACTGCTCCTCGCGCTTCTTGTTTCGATCCTTATTTTTAAAACAACCCACGTATGAAGACTCTTATTCTGTCTGGAAGGCTCTGGACTGGTCGATTTGGAAATAAATGTCAAGCTACTTAACTTGAAATCAAGTCGAGTATTTACCAATGTAAACCAAGTCAAGTAGTTTTTACTTCAAGTACTTGAAAATTCAAGTAGTTATAACTTTTTGAATATATACTAAGTGACATATAAATCCGAACACCCAGTTTAAATGGTTTTATTTTAATAAAATTTTGTATAAGTACTTAATGAAGCATAATAAGTAAATGATAAAAATTTCAAAATGATTGCACTGCTTTAAAGCCCTTTGACCTTTAATAATGTGTGGATGCACCCTGATGTGCTACGCATTCTCCAACGCGCCTAGGCATGCTTCTGATCAGGTGGTCAATGTCCTCCTGTGGTATCTCATTCCAGGCAACCACCAACTCCTCTCGAAGTGCTTCTAGAGTCTGAGGAGGACGTTGCAAATTGAGCAATCTCCTACCCATCATATCCCACACGTGCTCAATTGGGGATAAGTCGGGAGATCTTGGTGGCCATAGTAACAATGTGACATCATTATGTTGAAAGAAGTCTATTGTGACTCTTGCAACATGTGGTCGGGCATTATCTTGTTGGAAAGTTGGATCTGCCAGGGTGTCAAGATAGGGTAAAAGATGGGGTTCTAGAACTTCGTGGATATAACGCTGCGCGTTCATGTTACCTCTGATGAAGATTAAAGGTGACCTGGAACAATAAGCTATAGCACCCCAAACCATAACTCCAACGGTGTGATGAACATGTCTTTCAACAAAAAACTGTGGATTCCTCCTTTCACCACGTCGCCTTCTAACCCTGGCACGACCATCGTGCATGCCTAAACAAAATCGAGACTCGTCACTAAAGACAATGCTGTTCCATTCCTGATCCCAGAGTGACCGTTGTCTGCACCACTCAAGGCGATTACGTCGGTGTTCTCGAGTTAAAGGGAGGACCCAGTGTGGCCGGTATGAAAACAAGCCAAAACTTCTCATTCGTCGGTAAACACTTCGCATGCCAATAGGTCTTCCGTGTTCTGCAAACCATTCATTTGCAATGGACCTGGTAGTGGGGAAACGGTCCCTTAAGGCCAATAATCTTAGGCGGCGATCTTCACGGTCTGTTGTTCTACGGCGGCGTCCAATGCCCCTTGCTCTTTGCGTACGGCCTTCTCGAAGCCATGCCTGACAACACCTAACCACAGTGTCTACACTTCTTTGCACTCTAACTGCAATTGCCCGAAAAGAAAGTCCAGCTTCCCGAAGTCCCACTATACGGCCCCTATCAAACTCACTAAGTTGACGAAATCGTACAGGTCTCTGTACTCTAGGCATCGTAACCGATCGTAAAGGATGTCAAGAACCAAAATCCGCCAACGTTGATTCTTTACTGCGGCTGAAATATTCATTTTTAGAGCGGTAGTGAATTAAAAAAAAGCAGTATAAAAACCGGAATGTCTAACTGATGAGGCTGAAAATTTTTTCACTTGTTATTTACAGTGAGATAAATACATTCGCCAACTTTTATTAAAATAAAACCATTTAAACTGGGTGTTCGGATTTATATGTCACTTAGTATAAATACGAATAGATTATGAATTCACAATGACACACAATGGACCTGACCATGACGTTCAAAGTCAATCGTTGTTGGAATCGTTGTACCAAAGCAAGAAGGTGCTGAATACGACCCTGTCCAATTCCTCAGCTCCTCATAGTGCATGACTGTGTTTACATGTATGTACAGGGTGTCCAACTAAGATCGCGTGGTGCTGAATCTAGACGCCTATCCAGGCTTGCGGCAAGAATAGTTATTACTGAAACCTGAAAAATATTTTCAAGTTTCTGAAATGACCGCTAGGGGGCGCATCTGCAATATCGAATCTGTTTCTGTGAATTCCGCTGTATTTACCCAACAAAAAATACCTGATCTTTAAATTCGAGGATAATCTAAACGTTTTTTGTTTGACTTCTTTGCTATATCTCTAAAAACATAGTGGTGGGGGGTACTCAAAGGTTTCCGCAAAAAACACCCTGTATCTTCGAAACGGCTGGGCCGATCTTAACAAGCTTGGGCTAGTTGAAAAGAGCTATTCTTGGACTACTAATGCTATATTATTTGAAGTTTTGTTAGTTTCGCATGTGACCGCTAGAGGGCTTTCTCGACATTCCGGCAGGAATGCTTAATTTTACCTCAAAAAAATTAAATGCGTTGGTATGACTTTTTTTATCAAAAAGTAGCTAAATGATGTCTAAGCCGGCTCGCGAGAACCTGATCTTGGTATCTTGCTCCTAATCTAAAATTTAGGCCAAAGAAAATTTTATACCGAAAGCCCTTAAATTTTTATTTTTTAACTAATTTTTCTTGAATTTCTTTTTATTATTAAATTGTGGTCCTTCAAAATATATACAATATATAACAGCTTTATCGTGTATGAAACGCAAACACAAAAATTGCTCAAAGTAACGTACCCTCAGAGTGAGTGGTCTACACTTGCGATCCGCCAACGTTGATTCTTTACTGCGGCTGAAATATTAATTTTTAGAGCGTTAGTGAATTAAAAAAAAAAGCAGTATAAAAACCGGAATGTCCAACTGATAAGGCTGAAAATTTTTTCACTTGTTATTTACAGTAAGAAGCGTTATATCCACGAAGTTCTAGAACCCCATCTTTTACCCTATCTTGACACCCTGGCAGATCCAACTTTCCAACAAGATAATGCCCGACCACATGTTGCAAGAGTCACAATAGACTTCTTTCAACATAATGATGTCACATTGCTACCATGGCCACCAAGATCTCCCGACTTATCCCCAATTGAGCACGTGTGGGATATGATGGGTAGGAGATTGCTCAATTTGCAACGTCCTCCTCAGACACTAGAAGCACTTCGAGAGGAGTTGGTGGTTGCCTGGAATGAGATACCACAGGAAGACATTGACCACCTGATCAGAAACATGCCTAGGCGCGTTGGAGAATGCGTAGCACATCAGGGTGCATCCACACATTATTAAAGGTCAAAGGACTTTAAAGCAGTGCAATCATTTTGAAATTTTTATCATTTACTTATTATGCTTCATTAAGTACTTATACAAAATTTTATTAAAATAAAACCATTTAAACTGGGTATTCGGATTTATATGTCACTTAGTATATTTTCAATAAGGGTGATTTTATACTGTCGAATAAAAAAGAATTCCAAAGAAATGAGTTTAAGAACATAAAAATGTACGCGATTTTTGAATAAAGTCTTCTTTGGCCTAAAATTTAGGTTAGGAAGAAGATAAAAAAAAGTCATACCAACGCTTTTGATTTTTTTGAGAAAATGAACCATTCCTGTCGGAATGTCGATGAAGCCCTCTAGCGGCCACATGTCAAACCAACAAAACTTCAAATATTATAACATTTGTAGCCCAAGAGTAGCTCTAGTTTGAATTGGATCAGTCGTATCTTTACGGAAACATTTGAATACCCCCGCCACTTTATTTTTAGAGATACAGCGAAAATTATCAAGCAAAAAAAAGTTCACACTATCCTCGACTTTAATGATCAGGTTGTTTTTCAACATAGCGGAATTCACAGAAACACGACTTTTTTAGATTCAAGGTTGCTGTTCGCCCCCTGTCGGCCAATTCAGAAACTTCAAAATACTTTCCAGGTTTTTCTCTTCAGAACTTTTTTGCCGCAAGCTGGATACGTCATTGGGCATTCTGGAATTTCAAATAAATTTCGACGTCTTTTCAATTTGGCATATCTCTACCTGCGCCTGATGGCCCTTGGGGAAATTCGGAACGGGCAGGTCCGGACTGAGCAGGAAATCCGAACCGGATTTCGTGCCTGCGAAGTCTACCGGGGGCGTAGGGTAAATTTTCTCACCGCTGGCTTGAAGGAACGCTCCCGTCGACGAGCCTTGGCTGTTGTGCACTTGCTGCTGAAGGGTTTCCCTAGGGAAGAACTCGTAGCCGCGCATGGATTTGTCGCCGGTGCCACTGTAGTACCTAGAACAAAATGGCGTCAAGCAGGTTGACTCTGCACTTAGCACGCGACGGCGTCGTCAGTTCATAAAGGACTAGGTTCATCACAAATTAGACCCTATAGAGGAAAAAGCTAGTTACGAACACGTATAACAGAATAAGTGAATGGATCAAGTCAGTCAAACAGGTTCATTCAAGTAGTGCAGGGGAACTCGACGATAAAAAATGTGAAACACATGTTGTATTTCGCTTGTTTTTCAAAATGAAAGTTTGTGATGCATATTAAACTAAGTAATTTGCGTATCTAAACAAAAAAATGGCGTCAAGCAATTTTTTGCGACTATAATTTTTCCTTACCATTTGGCGTTGAAAGGAAAAACATATCTCGATTTGGAAATATTTCTCCACCCACCCTAGTTAAATACAAGATCGTTACCTAAAATTTCCTCCGGAATCTACAGACAGCATCTTCTTCTCCTGCAGACTAGGCTTCGCTCCTCCGGTAAACTTAAATTTGCAGATGCTGACTTCAGTCGCAGGATTAGTGTTATTTTCTGTTGGTATGGGGGGAATGAAAATGGCGGACCTCTTTCTTTTCGTAGGCGCTTTTCCATTTTCTGAAGACGAAGGGGCGTTTCGCTTTTTCAGTTCTTGGGTACTACTGCAGCCCGGGGATCCTGTCGAGTGATCAGTCTCCTCGGCAGTGCTATCTGAAAAGAATCAAAATTGTTAAATGGTGGCAACACACTTTATCTCTCTGAACTCTTCTCCATGACCTGCGAGGCTTCTGCCTCTCATTCTAATTTTTTAAGGCAGCAGCCTAAATGCCAGGACACCGCGGCTGCTATGAGGATCTCAAATTCTGAAAACCGAAAATTTTTAAAACGTTGGGAATTTTTTTATTAAATGTTGAAAATTTTGTAAATTTTGAAAACTTTGAAAATGTTGAAAATATGAGATTTTAAAAATATTGAAAATTTTTTGAAAATTTTGCAAATTTTTAAAAGCTGAAAATTTTTTTGAAAATTTTGGAAATTTTTAAAAGCTGAAAATTTCAGTATTTTAAAAATCATCAAAATTTTGAAATATTTGAGAACTGAAAATGTTGAACAGTCTGAAAGTCTCAAATTTTACAAACCTTGAATATTTTGAAAATATCGGATTTTGAAAATTTTTAAAAATTTTAAAATCTTGAAAAGTTTGAACACTTTAATAGTTGCTCTCCTGGGAATTTTGGAAACTATGAAAATTTTGAGAATTTCGAAAATCTGGAAAATTTTAAAACCCTGAAAACTATTGAGATTTCAGATTTTTAATACAGGGTGTCCGCAAAGTTGGGGTTTTCCTTTACACGACGTGTAAATCTTGAAAACATAAGCAATTTTTCTTAATACTATATACACCAATGTCTTAAGGGAACCGAGATAAAGGGCTCTGCAACATCAAACATATCTGAATACCGTCCTGTAGCCGCGACATCCCCGACTGGTACTAGGACACTAGCTCAACCCGACGACAGAACTGGGTCGGAGTCAGTGTGTCAGGTCAGTATGCAACCTTCAACCGACGGTTACGGTCACGCGTGTAGAGGTAATCGCGTAGACGAGAATCCCTCAACAAGCACTAGAGAAGTGCAAGTATCAAAAACTAAAGTGTGGCAAACGCTGCGTGAAGAGGGGCTGTATCCGTTTCACGTCCAACGTGTACAAGCCCTTCAACCTGACGATTTTCCAGCAAGAGTGCGGTTTTGTGAGTGGTTGTTGCATCAACATGACAATAATCCGGACTTTTTGAAGTGCATATTGGTGACAGACGAATCTACGTTCACGCCTAATGGGGTGAATAACTTTCGCAACACTCATGTTTGGTCAGTAGAAAATCCGCACGCTGTCCGTCGGGCACATTTTCAACAAACATTTTCGGTGAATGTTTGGGCTGGCATGGTGAATGGTATGCTCATTGGACCATTTATTCTCCCAAATCGATTGGACGAGATGCAATACCTAGACTTTTTACGCAACATTTTGCCTTCCTTGTTTGCCTGCATCTGCTCGGTAGCGCATCAGCTGATTTCATTTTCTGTTGGAGCGGTATGATTTCGGGCAGAGACGTACTTAGCCCTTCTCGTCAACTGGAGACTGAGTACTTTTTCCTTTATTTTTTTTTACTTGGTCGCCCTCGTTTCACTACACATCACCTTTGTTATTTCAAGGGTAGTTGTTTCTGAAAAGGAAAACCCCAACTTTGCGGACACCCTGTATATTGGAATATTTAAAAATTATGGAATTTTTGAAGTGTTCTTATGAAAATTTTGGAAATTTTGAGAGCTACAAATTCTTAATCTGAAAATTATGAAAATTTTGTTGATCAAGTGCATGGTATGCTTTATAGCAATTTTAAAAACGTTTAAATAATTAATTATCAGTTAAAAGCTGCGGGGCCATGTTAAACAAACTTTCTGCGCCTTTTCTGAGCTTTTTAAGTGTTGTATGAACGTTATTAAAACGTATAAGCGGCATTGTTGTTTTATAAAAATTGCTTTGATGATCTTGAAAATTCAGTAAATTTTCTCCTGATAATTTTGAAAATTGCGAAAATCTGAAAAATTTTTGAGACTTAGAAAACGTTGAAAATATGAGATTTGGAAAATTTTGAAAAATCCAAAAATCTTGAAATTTTTTAAAACTATGGAGATTCTGGAAACTGAAAATTTTTAATATTTAAAAAACAAGGATAATTTATGATTCGTGTATTTTTCGGTTTGTAACAAATTACGCCAGTTTGTTTATTTATCCATTTATCCATCTGTACAAATGTGTCCACACATTCACACACAGGTAAACTAAGCCAAAACCTGCCGATTTCATTCATATGTATTTGCTTAAGTTACGTATGCAAAGCTACATTAGTGGGCATAATACGAACAGCTGTATTGAATGACATGACCTTCGCAATGCAAACAAAACAACTAATTTTAGATTCACATGAATAATTCTTTCAGGTATATGCTCGTAAGGCTATTTTGAAATATTGGAACCATTTCAAGGAAGTCGTTGCGAATTATATTTTTGCAATGAAACTTTACCAGAGTTCGCTGTTTATTTATAGTGGTTTATGGGTACTTATTCCATTTTAACTTTTCGAAAACGTTTTACAGGTTCGTCCCATTTCCCACCGTGAAAACTGATACCGTTGTCAATCGGTATCATAGTTTAGGTTACGGAAATTAAGGGTAAATTCAATATCTAACAATTTAAAAATTCATCATACACGAGTAGATTTTTTAAAACATTTTAGTTGTTGCAACAAAATATTATAAGTAACAATTAGCACTGTCTTACCTGGAGACTTGCCAGGATTATTGAAAGTTAGCTGGGTAATTTTGTTGATAATTAAAACAAATTCCGAAACTTTCAAATTTTTCTGAATTTCTAAAATATTGGAAATTTCCGAAAGTTTTAAATTTTTCAGATATTCAAAATTTTCGAGAATTTTAGAATTTTAAGAATTAAAAAAATTTGCTATTTCCAATATTTTCAAATTTTCGGAAATTCCAAAATTTTCGAAATTTCAAGGTTCTCAAAATTTTCCAAAATTATAAAAAATTTCAGAATTTGCAACTTCCAATATTTTCAGAATTTTTAAAATCTCCAATATTTCCAAAATTCCTTCAAAATTTTAAAAATCATGTAGGTTTTCAGCATTTTCGAAATTTTCAGAAACTTTAGTTTTTACAACTTTTAAAAATTTTTAAATTTTTCAAAAATGATCAAATCTCCAAGATTTTTCAAAATGTTCAATGTTTACTATTTATCATTTCTAAAAATAATAATATCCACCGATTAATCCTTCGAGGTTAAATATTGTCTGGGTATCCTAATGAAAATGGAAAGTTTCATTTATTTTCCTACCTTTGGAAGAGGAAGCTTTCGACTTGACGGTCTTTGGTACAATCTTCCTGAGTTCTACTTCAAAATTTCTAAAATATTGAAATCTTCCGAAATTTTTCAGATTTTCGAAATTTTTGAGAATATCTGACTTAAAAATTTGCAATTTCCAATATTTTCAAAATTTTCGGACTTTCCAAAATTTTCGAAATTTCAATATCGTTCAAGATTCTCAAAATTTTCAAAATCTTGAAAATTTTCAAAATTTCCGGAATTGTGAGAATTTTCTGGTTTTCAAAATTTTCAAGATTTCCAAAATTCTAAAATTTTTCCGAATTTGCAATTTCCAATATTTTCATAATTTTCGAAATCTTCAATATTATCAAAATTCCTTCGAAATTTCAAAAATCATGTGGATTTTCATTATTTATAAAAATTTTCTAATTTTTCAAAAATGATCAAGATATTAAAAATTCTCTGAATTTCCAAAATCTCGCAAGTTTTTTCAAAATGTTCAATGTTTACTATTTATCATTTCTAAAAATAATATTAATAACCCCCGATTAATCTTTCAAGGTTAAATATTGTCTGTGTATACCAACGAAAATGGTAAGAGTTTTATTTATTTTCCTACCTTTGGAAGAGGAAGCTTTCGACTTGACAGTCTTTGGTACAATCTTCCTGAGTTCTACTTGCGTTTCTTTCGGTGAAGAAGACGTTGCTGTCGAACTAGTACCCTGATGAGGTGGCTGCCTTGGACTGTGGCCACCCGGAAGGATATAACTGTCACTACCGCCTGTCATACGCTGAAAGTTAAGCAAGTCATTATTTACGATAACCGAAATGAAAAAATGGTTCGTCCCCTCTCGGAGGATTAGGTGAAAAGTTCGTCAGTATCAGACCCATGTGTCTCGCACCGTGTAAGTTGTCTATAAGTCGGATTTAAAAAATCAAATTGGCGTATTCTTATGGCAGTCTCAAACTTGATATACTGTTTGTTCACCGTGAGTGTGAGACACTATTTGAATGAAGTAAACGAATCTGAGTTTAATCAAGCAACAACAAGCTTGAAAAATAAAAGTGACACTACCATCTATCAGTTCTATCGACCCCTACGTAATGTACCAAGAAATTTTCAAGATTCTATAAATTTTCAATTTTTTGAAATTATCAAAATTTTCAGTTTTAAAATATTTCAAAATTCGCAATTTTAAAATCTCAAAATTTTCTGAATTTTAAAATATCCAAATTTTGCAATTTACAGTTATTCAAAATTTCCAAAATCCTCAAAAATTACAAAATTTTCAATATATATTTCCAAGATTTTTAATATCCTCAGATTCTCAAAATTTTCAAGTTTTCCAGAATTTTAAGAATTTTAAAAATTTGCAAATTCTAATATTTCCAAAATTTTCGAAATTTTAATATTCCTCGAAATTTTCAGGTTTTCTATAATTTTCAAAATTTCCGGAATTGTCAAAATGTACGAATTTTCAAAATTTTCATGATTTTCCGATTTTTTAAGCTTTCCAAAATTTGCAATTTCCAATACGTATTTTCAAAATTTTCAATATTTTCAATATTTATTTCCAAAATTCCTTCAAAGTTTTAAAAATGATGTGGATTTTCAAAAATGATCAAGATATTTAAAATTTTGTCGTCCTATGTAAAAGTCCCATAAACTAAACCCAGATTCTGTAGGATCTGTTTGCTTTCCGTCTAGATTTGGAGACAGATGACTGAAAGCAAACATGCTTATTATATGAAAACTCCGAATTTGAACAGTATTTATAAGCAACACATGACGGCGCTACTACAAATTTTTTATCAACTTAGCAATGGCTACTTTTCGACGTTTTTCTTTACGTTTTCGGCGATGTTTTATCAAAACTTTCAGAACACCTTGTATAACTCTAGATACTTACAGTGTACAATAAAAGTTGTTGCTGCAACGCCAAGGGATGAATGAACACTCCCGCGTTAGGCCAATACACGTACCCCCCGGGGGCGGTGCGTTCAGCAGGTTTGGGCGTAGTTGAGCCGGCCCCCACTCCTGAAGAGTCAGGACTGCTCCGCGCGGAGGAGGGGTCTATCAGATTGGGGCGGGGATGCAACTCGTTTGGATAAATGATCTGAAAGAAGATAGAAAATAGATTGTTGGCCAAAAATTGTCAGCAACCTGTAAGGTTGCTTCAACCAATTAAGGCGTTCGTATAGGAAAGATTTGATACTTTGGTTTTACTTCTATTTTAAAGTGTTACTTCATGCGGTCATGTCAAAAGTATTACATAAAAATTAAAATAAAATAATATCTAAAGATGATTGATTGATGTACCGTTTTATGCAAGAAGTTTGTTAGGAATGATAATATCGATATGATGATCGATGATTGTGCTTGTCTTGGCACTTGGGCATTTGAAAAACGCGTTAAGCCAACATTTATGGATTTATGGATTGATGGATATATGGATTGATGGATATATGGATTTATGGATTTGTGGATTTGTGGATTTATGGATTTATAGATTTATGGATTTATGGATTTATGGATTTATGGATTTATGGATTTATGGATTTATGGATTTATGGATTTATGGATTTATGGATTATGGATTTATGGATTATGGATTTATGGATTTATGGATTTATGGATTTATGGATTTAGGATTTATGGATTTATGGATTTATGGATTTATGGATTTATGGATTTATGGATTTATGGATTTATGGATTTATGGATTTATGGATTTATGGATTATGGATTATGGATTTATGGATTTATGGATTTATGGATTTATGGATTTATGGATTTATGGATTTATGGATTTATGGATTTATGGATTTATGGATTTATGGATTATGGATTTATGGATTTATGGATTTATGGATTTATGGATTTATGGATTTATGGATTTATGGATTTATGGATTTATGGATTTATGGATTTATGGATTTATGGATTTATGGATTTATGGATTTATGGATTTATGGATTTATGGATTTATGGATTTATGGATTTATGGATTTATGGATTTATGGATTTATGGATTTATGGATTTATGGATTTATGGATTTATGTGTTAATGAGTTTATGGATTGATGGATCGATGGATTGATGGAATGATGGATTGATGGATTGATGGATTGATGGATTGACGGAATGATTGGCGGATCGACGGATGGGTGGATCGGTGAGTTATTGGATGGATTGATCGATGGGCTGATTCTGATTCATCGTTTGATTGATTGGTCTGTACTCACGCTTGGACTAGGAGTGTCTTGGAATAAATCTACATCTTCGTCCGATTGTGGTTCCGACTTGATTTCCGCTGAGCTGTAGGTATTGTCGTTATTTTTCAGTAGTCTTATCTTCAAGTGATTTAAATCACGAATACATAGGTTGAGCGGTTCATTTTGGTCCACCTTTTCCTAAAAAAAAATTCCACATTCTATATATCATCACACTAAAAGGTCCTAAGCATGCCAAGCTTGTATCAAACGTGAACTAAAATGGATTGCGGAATATCATGGGGGTATGTCACCCCTGAGCGAGTTAAGATCGACCACTAATATTTTTATGATTACCTTTGGAGAATGCCTTTTGCCCTCCCTGGTCCTCTTATATTCTTGAGTCAGTCTTTTTTCAAGTAAACTAGATATAATCTTATTCTGTACATCAGTCCTATTAGCACTATCTACAGCTTCTTTGCTGTCTAAAACAGCTACTCTTTTCAAAATGCTATTGTCTTTCTCTAAGTAACTATCCGGATTTGGAGTGCCCGGAAGGATCGTCCCGTAGTTTTTGTAAATGAGATGGCAGATGTCAGCTTTTTTGGGTTTTCTGCCTCTCCGGGATTTTGAGCTGTCCAAGGTGATCTCGCCCATGTAGGGCAGGTCTTGGTACTTCATTATTCTGGATGGTGCGTTATTGGTAGCGGTGCTACTATTATTTATGCTAGAGTTGCCCGTCACCTGTAAAAATGTCATTTGCTACTGATATATGCAGAGTGCTTTAGAAAAACGAGACAGCTACCTTAACTTTAACCTTGCGACATCAATATGACGCCACCAGAAATACAAAAGCTTTGTGACATTGATATGACGTACCGTAGGGATACTAGATTGGATAGCGAGATGTTTCTTCTGAATCTCATGTTGAGCGTCCGTTATCCTTTGCAGCCAGCTCTTAATAGATTCGGTCGGGTTCTGGGTAGGAATGCCGCTGAATAACGGCGATGCAAATTGTGATTTGGGTGACTCATAGTCAACCAAACAGTCCGTTTCAGGTTCTTCCGAAGATTCGTCATGGCTGGTCACTTCGACTTTCTCTATGTCATCTTCCAAGTTTATACCTTTGAATTTGGTCTGCACTTCTGGTGACTCACTGCAAGAAAATGTAAGCGTGTACGACCCGTCGTGGCGAAATGCGGCAAATTTTATCAATAATACATTTGCTGCAATCGCACTGGCATGAACAATTTGTGTTAAGGAAAAAAGCAATAATAACATGCATGAATATTAGAATAAATGTATATAAGTTAAATCATCAAACAACCGCAATTAGAAGTCGTAAATAATAATTAGAGTAATATTCTACGTGGATTTAAATGTGTCGTGTTACGCAGTTCCATTTTGCGTTGAGGCTTCAAGGTTTAAAAGTTAAAAATCGATGATCGAACTTACCAACATTCATCTATAACTGCCTCACATTTCACTTCTATACTATCGGTTCCGTTATTTTTGTAAGTCATTATACTTGTATCTTTCCGCAGCACATCTATTGATTCTGCTTGCATTGTTGTCTTCGCTGTAACAAGAAAAGATGCGTCAAGTAGGTTGACTCCGGTGTCATTCTGATACAGTAAAGGTGGATTCTCAAAAAACGACAATCAAAATTTTATTTGTGTTTAGAATTATACAGGTCAAACCTGTCTTAAAGTCGAGGATACTGTAAACTTTTCTTTTGTTGAATCTCTAATAATAAAGTGGTGGGGGGTATTCAAAGGTTTCCGTAAAAAAGCCCTATATATTCGAAACGGCTAAGCAAATTTCAACAAACTTGGGCTAGTTGAAAAGAGCTTGTCTTGGGCTACAAATATACTAAGTGACATATAAATCCGAACACCCAGTTTAAATGGTTTTATTTTAATAAAAGTTGGTGAATGTATTTATCTTACTGGACATTCCGGTTTTTATACTGCTTTTTTTTAATTCACTAACGCTCTAAAAATGAATATTTCAGCCGCAGTAAAGAATCAACGCTGGCGGATTTTGGTTCTTGACATCCTTTACGATCGGTTACGATGCCTAGAGTAAGGAGACCTATACGATTTCGTCAACTTAGTGAGTTTGATAGGGGCCGTATAATGGGACTTCGGGAAGCTGGACTTTCTTTTCGGGCAATTGCAGTTAGAGTGTAAAGAAGTGTAGACACTGTGGTTAGGTGTTGTCAGGCATGGCTTCGAGAAGGCCGTACGCAAAGAGCAAGGGGCACTGGACGCCGCCGTAGAACAACAGACCGTGAAGATCGCCGCCTAAGATTATTGGCCTTAAGGGACCGTTTCTCCACTAGTGTTTACCGACGAATGAGAAGTTTTGGCTTGTTTTCATACCGGCCACACCGGGTCCTCCCTTTAACTCGAGAACACCGGCGTAATCGCCTTGAGTGGTGCAGACAACGGTCACTCTGGGATCAGGAATGGAACAGTATTGTCTTTAGTGACGAGTCTCGATTTTGTTTAGGCATGCACGATGGTCGTGCCAGGGTTAGAAGGCGACGTGGTGAAAGGAGGAATCCACAGTTTTTTGTTGAAAGACATGTTCATCACACTGTTGGAGTTATGGTTTGGGGTGCTATAGCTTATGGTTCCAGGTCACCTTTAATCTTCATCAGAGGTAACATGAACGCGCAGCGTTATATCCACGAAGTTCTAGAACCCCATCTTTTACCCTATCTTGACACCCTGGCAGATCCAACTTTCCAACAAGATAATGCCCGACCACATGTTGCAAGAGTCACAATAGACCTCTTTCAACATAATGATGTCACATTGTTACCATGGCCACCAAGATCTCCCGACTTATCCCCAATTGAGCACGTGTGCACGGGATATGATGGGTAGGAGATTGCTCAATTTGCAACGTCCTCCTCAGACTCTAGAAGCACTTCGAGAGGAGTTGGTGGTTGCCTGGAATGAGATACCACAGGAGGACATTGACCAGCTGATCAGAAGCATGCCTAGGCGCGTTGGAGAATGCGTAGCACATCAGGGTGCATCCAGGTCAAAGGGCTTTAAAGCAGTGCAATCATTTTGAAATTTTTATCATTTACTTATTATGCTTCATTAAGTACTTATACAAGATTTTATCAAAATAAAACCATTTAAACTGGGTGTTCGGATTTATATGTCACGTCACTTAGTATAGTTATAATATTTGGGGTTTGACTAGTTCCACATGTGGCCGCGAGAGGGCGTTCTTCGATATTCCGACAGAAATGGTTAATTTTCTATAAAAGAAAAATTCACTGCTACGATTTTTTTATGAAAAAGTAGCTAAATGATGTCTCAGCAAGCTCGATATTTTGTTCCTAACCTCAAATTTAGACCAAAGAAAATTTTATACAGAAATCCCTTAAATTTGTATTTTCTTACACTCATTTTTCTTAATTAATAGCAATACCTCGAAAACTATTCGAAAAAAGTGGTATGATCCTCATTAAAAAATGCGTAATGGACGGTATTCAATGATGTAGAAATATACAGGGTGTTCCTCAAAGTTGGACATTCTTTCAGACATTCCACCAAATATCTTAACAATTGACAATCAAAACCATATATTATATGATCAAACTTCTGGTTTTTAGAAGATCTATCCAAATATAGGGTATTCTATTTATAAAAAACAGCATATAGCTATGACACGAAGTAATGAATCACCCTGTATATATGAAAATAATTTTAAACTATACACTACTGATAAATCAAGATTGCCACGAAAACAGATCTCCGAAAGAAAACAGATTTTGAGTATATTCTACCATATGCCTAGCAGTAATAGAAAAATCGTCTATTTTGTGAATAAGTTTCGTTTATCTTTTCACATAAGTCTTCAAGAAGAATCTGTTACGTAAGATAAACTTAAAAAAATATATATCTTACAATTTAACTATTAATGGCAGACTATATTGAACGGTGTTTTCCGCAACATATTAACAGTTAAAACAGAACGTTTCGAAATGAATCTAAGGATGTTTAAAGTTACACAGATTAAACCTCCAGAAATAGTATAGCCTAGATAGAACATGGCTATTTTTAGGACTAAAGCTGGCAAAATTCGGCACGCTCCAGGGAATATACAGGTTATGTACTATCAGTCTCATTACATGGTGTTGCTTAATATTTCAATTGTCGATAACTCATCCTAGATCGATTATCTGAGAATAAGTTCAATCAAGAAATGGAGACAAAAATAACATTTTACCTACGACTCTTTAGTGGAAGACTAAATACCAGCGCTTTTGAGTCTCTTAAAAAAAAGTTGCATAAAAACAAACCAAAACGTTGTTTCATTGTATTGTTTTTAGGAAAATCGAAAGCTTTCAAACATGTTCGTATTTTCTGGGTTTTTTATTCATGGATCTGGACAAACTCCTAGTGTATTCTTCGTAAATACTTTTTTTTAAATAAACTTTGTTCGTTCTGATAATGAGAGTGTTACATAAAAAAAAACTTTCAAATCTCAAAACGTAATCTCCGTTTATGATATTCCTCAGGTTTCTGCTCTTGGATTGTAATAAAAAAGCTTTCAACTTACGTTCAAGTACATTCTGTAGCATCATTTCCTTGCGACAAGTCCTTAACACAAAGACAGAAAAGTAGATAATGCCGTATTTGAAAAAAAAATTGTTTAGTTCTGAGCAAGAGCAGAAAATATTGAAACACCCTGAAGCTTCGTGTTGTACGTTTCTTATCACGTTTGGGCTCATAAAGAATAGAGCTTCGAGAATTTTACAAGGAACCCAATTTTGTTAAAATGTCTAAATATTAACAAATATCTTTTCAATAATTTCTAAATATTTTGAAATTCAATATGCTTATTATTCTAGTATCTTTTTGCATACTATGGTTCTCGTAACAAATAATGCTACTATATTTTTAAAAATCCAACAGAAGAGCCTAATGCCTTTTTTGAAGAAAAAACAGAAAGAGTTGAAATATCCTGAAGCTTGGTGTTGTACGTTTTTATAACTTTTGGGGTCATACAAAATACAGCTTCGAAAATTCCGAAAGGAACCCAATTTTGTCAAAGTTTCTGGATATTAACAAAGATCTTTTTTAATATTTTTGGGATACTTAACGAACGTGAACAATTTCTCAGAACTAAATATTTTTAAATTCAGTATGCTTTTTCTTCTAATGCCTTTTTGGGATATCGAGAAACTAAAATCGTACCGTTTATTTTACTCAGCATGTTATGGTTCCCGTAACAAATAATGCTGCTATCTTTTTAAAAATCCGACAGAAAAACGTAATGCCTTTTTTGAAAATAAAACAGAAAGGGTTGAAATATCCTGAAGCTTCATGTTGTACGTTTTTATAACTTTTGGGGTCATAAAAAATACAGCTTCGAAAATTCCAAAAGGAACCCAATTTTGTCAAAATTTCTGGATATTAACAAAGATCTTTTTTAATTTTTTTGGGATACTTAACGAACGTGAGCAATTTCTCAGAACTAAATATTTTTAAATTCAGTATGCTTTTTCTTCTAATGCCTTTTTGGGATATCGAGAAACTAAAATCGTACCGTTTATTTTACTCAGCATGTTATGGTTCCCGTAACAAATAATGCTGCTATATTTTTAAAAATCCGACAGAAAAAGGTAATGCCTTTTTTGAAAATAAAACAGAAAAGATTGAAATATCCTGAACCTTGGTGTTGTACGTTTTCGTCACTTTTAGGGTCATAAAAATACAGCTTCTATTCCAAAAGGAATCCAATTTTGTCAAAATTTCTGGTTATTAACCAAGATCTTTTTCAATTTTTTTGGGATACTTTTTGAACGAGACTAATTTCTCAGAACCAAATATTTTTGAATTCAATATGCTTTTTCATCTAACGCCTTTTCGGGATAACGAGAAACTAAAATTGTACTGTTTATTTTTAAAAATCAATGTGCCAGCAATTATTTTGTTTGTGAATATTTTTCGACTGTCATTTTTAGATAAACTTGAAGAAAGTCATAGTCATAGTCAGATTACGGGACTATCTACCAAAAGCAGTATTCCCTTGGCATTTTTAGGCGGAATTCAATGACGTTTTAGGAAAATCGAAAAGTTTCAAATGTGTTCTTATTTTCTGGATTTGTTTAATCATGGATCTTTACAAACTGCTAGTACATTATTCGTAAGCCCTCAAGGTTATTTACGTGAACTTTGTACCTCGAACTTCTGACAATCATACAGTTAAATATATATTCTTCAGGTTCACTGTTCTTAGATTGTAATTGAGAAGGCTTCAACTTACGTTCAAGTGCATCATCGAACATGACCATATTCCCTTGCAACGAGTCCTTAACACAAAACTGCCATTAAGTCACTATAAGGCTTAAGCACGGCGATAAGTCCGACATGTTAGACGCGCGCTGGTCAAAACTTGCCGAAGCGACGCCTCGTGAGCGTCATCCGTAGATGGAGACCGGCGCTATTTCGGGCGTCCCGACGCCCCCCCCCTCCTCCCGACGGGTATATTCTGAAAATGGCGCTGCTGTAACCCGAGATAGTTCCATATTCGGTACTTCCCGCATGCTTCCCGAGGTTATTAATAACCTGTTCTTATATTCCGAGTCGGTGCCGTGCGGTTAGACCAGGGGCGTACGTAACGGGGGCTCAAGCAGCCTGCCCGCTTTATGCATCTTGAACAGTAGTAGTAGACATTTATTTACTCCATTATACTGGCAGCGCAGTCTTTTTTAGGAAAAACGCTCAGACCCGTCGATTTTGTTTGTCGAGGGGGACACAAGTTTGGCTAAAAACCACGTTAATACGTGCAGCCCCCTGGGCGGGGGTGACACCAACCCTAAAATCTTAAATGGAAAGGGGGGTCGAGTGATACCTTATTTTAAAGGTCTTTCAATTCCCTTTATAATGATGTAAAGTACATGAGCTTCAGTTCAGTAGTTTCGAAGATTTATTGATTTAAAGCTTAAAGTAGACTTTAATAGGTACATCAGATTAGTTTGTACTACTTTCAGAAGAAATTTGAGTTGAAGAATTTACTTAATAAGTAAATGCTTTTCTTCATTACGCCCATGGTTTGTTTATCATTTTGTTGTCGAAAACAAAATCGACGGCTCTGAGCGTTTTAAAAAAAACTGACCTGCCAGTAAATGCGCCTGTTTCGATTTCGACGCGCCACCCTGTATAACAACCATATAATGGGTGAATAAATGTCTCAATCTATAGAAGAACAATTCCTGTACATGGATCGGTCGTATGTTGGAATGTGTAGCATTAACATAGATTTTCATTAAATGTTTGAGCTGTCATGGTAAATGACATGCTTATTAGACCATACCTTTTTTTATACCTCGACTGACCTGTGTAGTATATTTAGATTTTCTTAGGTAAAACCTACCACAAATATTAGATGTTCCTCTAAATGTCAGACAGAATATATGGTTCCTACATGATGAAGCTCCTCCACGTTTTAGACGAGAAGCTCATGAACATCCGAAAAATAGATAGAGTGCAATGGACCTGTTCCTTGGCCTGCTCGCTCCCCCGATTTAACGCCTTGCGATTTTTTTCTGTGGGGATATTTGGAAGCGATATTTGGAATCGAACAAACGGGTACAATTTTGAACAGTTTCTACAAGCTGTTGAAATGAACGACTCAACTTTGAAAACATCCTGTATAGTACGCCTACAATTTTCTGTCAATATGCCTGTGGGGAATTTAATTTTGTATGTAACAAATCTAATTTCCTTCAAAATGTAGGCTGAATGAATGTTCCACATCAAATGTTGGTCTAAAAAAAAATCCTAAATATTTAATATTGTGTCAATTTTTAATTTAGTATTGTTTATTTTGATGGGAAGATGTGAATAATCGGGAAGATGTCTTGTGTAGGATGTGCAGGGTAGAACGTGCGTTCTTCCAAGGTTCACGGTGAATTTTCTAGTGTTGAAAAATGAATGATTTAATAAAATCATTCTCAATTAGTCTCTTTACATCATACCAGTCCTGCCGTTTATATGTACAGGGTGTTCCTTAATGATATGCGAATATTTAGGGGTGTGGATCTACATATTTAAATAGATATTAAATAAAAGAGTGCCTAGCGCTGTACCCTGAGCTACACCACATCTGAAAAACATTACCTTACTGTATGATTTCGATTCGGCCTTTTTGATATTTATACAGGGTGGTTCAGTTTATTGTTGCATAACTTTAAGGTTCGATAGAACTTTTAAAATTAATGCATGAAGTTTAAATAAACATGGTTCGAAAAATGCGTGGCTTCCGAACTACAGGGTGTTTAAATTTACTTTCTAAAATAGTTTTTTCTAAATATTTCGAGCAGTATTTGATGTATAACAGTGAAAATTGGTATAAAAGGGTTTTTTGGTACGACAAAACGAACCATGGGCATAGTTTTACTGTAGCCGCTAGAGGGCGCTCTCTACTGTACGTGTAGTGTATTAAAATGACCGAAAAAATTTTCTTAGTGCAATTTTTTGCTTTCTGAATAAAAAAACTGATTCTTCGCACTTTACAACATAAAAAAGCTCTCTTGTGAATTTTCGTTATAGTTAGCCGTTTTTGAGATATTTCGATTTTTAAGGTTCGATGCATTTTTAATTATTCATGATAAAATAACGTTAAAAAGTCAGTATCTCGATAATTTTTAGAAGTAGGCTGTGCGTGCAGATATTTTTGAAATTGAAAGCAGAATAAGGTTAAACGTCAATTAGTTGACAGTTAGTTTTGTTGTCTCTTGAAACCTGAAACGTTTTTTTGCAATTGTGAATGCACGAAATTTAGTTTCTTTTACCTGTTTTTTTTTTGTAGGTTTTGTAAAAATGCCATTATGGCTTTGTAAATGGAAACGCAGCAGAAGCAGCCAGAGAATACGCACGAAGATTTCCAAACAGACGACATCCAACTCGCTCAGTATTTGTAAGAGTGCATCGCCAAATAATTGAAAATGGTTTTGGAAATCTCCAAAGGGATCAAAACATAAATGTTCGTCAGCGCAGATTTACCCGTATGATTCTGCGTGAGTTTGATAGAGATCCGACCACAAGTGTTAGGAGAGTTTCTGGTGCCTTGGGAATTTCAGCAAGCCATGTTCACCGTGTTCTTAGAAATGACCATAGTCGTCCTTACCATTTGCAACCTGTGCCAGGGGACGGAGAACGAAGAATCACATTTTGTCAGTGGATTCTTGATAGAACTGATAATAATAGGGAGTTTTTAAGTAACGTTTTATGGACCGATGAGTCATGCTTCACTAGACGTGGAGTGGTAAATTTTCATAATCAACATATTTGGTCGCATGAAAATCCGCATGCAGTTCGGGAAAGAAATGTTCAGCATGAATTTAGTGTGAACGTGTGGATTGGTATCTACCGTAATCGACTATTTGGATCCTACCTTTTGCCTGCAAGGTTAAATGCTGCGACCTTCTTGGAATTTTTAAAGGCTGAACATGCAAATATGTGGGATGATGTTATGTTAGATTTAAGAAGATTGACCTGGTTTCAGCTTGATGATCGTCCAGCTCATTATTCGAGAATAGTTAGAAACTGGCTGGACGAAAATTATCCAGAAAGATGGATCGGCCGTGGAGGACCAGTCGCCTGGCCTCCACGATCCCCTGACCTAAATCCATTAGATTTCTTTGTGTGGGGATTTCTAAAAGAAAAAGTGTACCAGACTCCCGTAACCACAAGATATACGCTAATAGACAGAATCAGGAATGCATGTGATGAAATAAGGCCTTATTTGAATAATGCTATACCACGTTCGATCATTCGTAGATGTGAATTGTGTATTGAACAATTGGGTTTCATTTCGAGCAACTACTTTAGATTTTGTATGTTTGTCCTAACTATCCAATAGCATTTTAGTTGTAAATAATTAATTTAATTTGTTAAAAATAATATTGGAAAATTAAACAAATTAATATTCTGCTTTTTTGTGTTTATTTGGAGTTAGGAATTATTGCAATCTAAACGATCATCTTAATTACTTGTAATGCCCAAATCGAAAATTTAAAAAAAATATTATTTTCCCATAAATAATTAAAAATGCATCGAACCTTACAAATCGAAATATCTCAAAATTGGCTAACTATAACAAAAACTCACAAGAGAGGTTTTTTATGCAGAAAAGTGCGAAGAATCTGTTTTTTTTATTCAAAAAGCAAACAATTGCACTAAGAAAAATGTTTCGATCATTTTAATACACTACAGGTACAGTAGAGACCGCCCTCTAGCGGATACAGTAAAACTATGCCCATGGTTCGTTTTGTCGTACCAAAAAACCCTTGTACACCAATTTTCACTGTTATACATCAAATATTGTTCGAAATATTTAAAAAAAACTATTTTAGAAAGTAAACTGAAACACCCTGTATATAAAATTGAAATCATATTTGAAAAAATAAATTAAATCTGTTATTTACAGACCTCGTATATCTACAACGATTGAAACGCTGCCACTGACTTGTGTCCCGATGCCTCGCGACGCGTCTCGCGGCTCCAAGATTCCGATTTGTGCATTTTCGTGCTTGCTCGTATTTTCGGTGTATTCGGGTTATTTCGGTCGGGCCCCAGCAAAAGGCACCGTCTGCGTTAGCGCGTACAGGATGTAAACGAGTCGCCGGGATTCGTGAAACAACCTACAGCTCGTTTCCCGTTGAAGACGGCTATGTATAGGCAGTTGACATATTAGCACTTCCTGGTTGAAAAATCAGTTTTGAACATTTGTAGAACGTAAGGAGGATTTTTATAAATACAAGATGATGAACTTGTTAATGCAATAATAATAATAATATTTATTTACTCAATGTACAAAGATAACAAACAATATGAGTAAATAAATATAAAATCAAAACAGGCCCAATAGAAGGCATCGCCTGTACATGGACCAATAATTTAAGTTGAAACTGTAGAATGCAAATGACAAAAAAGGACAAAAATTACCTGCAGTAGATTATGTATTTAGTTGATGTTCGTATTTATGAGTTTATGAATTTCAGTCCTAGATATAGAATGTAGCCACTTTTTTAAATTTCTTTTGAAACAATTTCCGAAACGTAAATCTTTTAAGTCTTTAGGTATAATTTCATAAAATTTAGGCGCTAAATAGAGATATGATCGCTGCATTATAGATTTATGCGGTTGAGGAACTACTGTGCCACGAATTTTGTACCTGGTATAATGATTATGTTTAATTTTTTGGTCGGTGTTTACAAATTTATGGTAGTGAGTGATACTGTGTAAGAAATAAAGCTGTCTTATATCATACATTCGAACATCTGCATATAATTTTTCAGTGGGATAAAGTTTCGGTTTTTTAAATATCATTTTTAGAATACTTTTTTGAAAAACATCTAAATTATAGATATGTGAGGAACATGCAGCTCCCCATGCTAATATACCATATGTGAGATGAGGCTCAATCAGTGCATGGTATAATGTTTGTAGATATTTTTCTGTCAA